CTCACTTCCTCCTCATCACCATCTTCATTTTTTATGGCGATTTGTGGAATTCTTGCCGTCATTTCCCAAATCATCAATACCTCTTGCAGTTCCTAATTTTGAGGGTTTAAGAAATTCGTTACCTTTAGAGATCCAAATTCCATTGTGTTTGACTGATAAGGCAGTTTGTTATTCAGCCTCACCCTTAAATGCGGGCAAGACTAATCCCCTCTTCAAACGCTTTCATACCGCCATTTATTCGCCCCTCCGCCCTCCTCCTCCCCCTTGCAGACGTTGAGTCATCGAGACGACAATATGAAGGGCAGAAATCTCGACTACTGTATTTCTCGCACATCCATCCATGTCATGCCATTAAGTCTCATGAGACCAAAGACGGCAAATAGCGAATGACTTAATTATTGAGAATACTGCGCTAATTTTGTGCTTTGCAACACCAAAACCATACAACATGTGCAAACTAATTGTCGGCAATTTTTCCCTACCAAAGTAATGCATTTATCTGGAGCAAATGGGGAATGGGCAAATGACTACCACCATTCCCACCTTTTATGGCTGTCAGATTGGGAGGTGCCTTTAATTACCCTTGCATTCCTCCCCAATTCACATAGATTTCCGATATCTTGGATCTGCACAGTGGCACTGTGGGGCGCTGTCCACGGTCTTGAAGTCTGCAAGCTTTCATGTTATGCTCCGATCCAATGCCACTGTCGGAGAGAGGACTGTCAAATCTGCCAGTGGAAGTAAGCATACGTCTACCACTGGCACTTCACTTCATTTAATTTAAAAGTGTGCTAAACTCATCAAACTTGTTTAAAATTGTAAAAAAGTAGCATAAGGAAGCCTTAAAGGAGCAGTTTTTTCGTAATCGGTTGGCTGCATTTGCAGCCAATGGGCGTAAAGGTGCAGTTGAGATTTCGTAACCTTTCACCGATTAACATCCAGTCAGGCGAGTTCTGCTTGTCTATTCGTTTGGAACAGTAAATGTGAGTTGGCTGCTAAAAAGCATCACTTGGATTAGCTCCGACTTTTTGGTTCCTCCATGCCAACTGTCTGTCGAGTTAATGGGACTGCAATGGTGGCGGCGACGGTGTTGAAAGGCATTCCAAGCCGTCCCCTTCACCCATGCCTGATTAGCAAGCCTATTTATCAGCTACAAAAGTTATTCATGTTTCATATTTAAGGAATTTTTTTCATTTCAGTTTATAAAATTCTGTCCACAAATTGTCTTCGTGTAATTTTATAGTACATCTTGTGATTTTACTAATTTGCTTTGGGGAAGATGGCAAACCAACTCCATATTTCTCCTACTTTAGCTATCATCTTCATCAAATGTGTCCACTTTTTCTCTCCTCTTTTTCCCTCTGGTTGAAACAAATTCCTTGCATGAATGATTTTGGAGTATGACATTTGAGATAATCATTGAGGTTAAATACCACACGATTATTTCGCCGTGAGGCTCCACTAAAATGCGCATTCGACAACTCGACAAGACTGCGTGTAGGTGTTTAATAGGTGAAATAATTAGTCTGGCTTAAAGTTTTTTTACGCGTCAGGTAAAGTGGGGGCAGAAATGAAGAGCCCGTTGCAGAGTCGCTTCGTGCAATCCATCGTCGTTCCCATCGGTTGATGGAAGTGTACGATTTAAGCATTCACTTGTAAGATGCCATTTGCACAATAAACGTGTCATCTTCAAGTATTTGTGTGGAGAATGAGAGAGGCGAGTGAAACTTAAAAACAAACGCTTGTAAGGGAGAGGCATATGGGTGAAGGAACGCAAAATTAGCGCATATGTTAACTCATGCAATCGTTGGATTTTGGCTCAAAGAGGGGCTTCAGAACCTTGAGGCAATCGTTCACTAGTGAAGCAGTGCAATTGTCCAACTTGTTGGGATTCTCCTACGCCAGCAACAAGCTGAAACCGTCTACCACACAGTGTACTTTTTGTTGGCGAACCAGCAGCATTGGAAACCGGATCTGTCTGGTCCTGTTTATGTTTATGCATTTCGTCTCCATAAAAAGGAGATTAGAGCTTCAAGTGAATAATTTGTCCCCTACCCTGCACATACACTTCTCTAACTGACAATAAAGGCTGTGTAACATGAGACGAAAGTGCACTCGAACGCGTACACGAAATTTTATGCTCACTCCTTCGTAAGCACACACACTTACAACCACAAGGGCATAATGGGATGACCTTCTCAGGTCAGTGGGTGGACTTATCTTTTCGTCCATCAGAAAGATGGCAACCTCTTCCTTGTACACACACACACAGAAGCACACATTCCGCCTGATTGGTTGGGGTGGGAGAAGCCAATGGGGAATGGAAGATGGAAAGACTGTGGTGTGGTGCGGTTAGGCGATGGGTGCGTTGGCGGGACGATCACTGAAGGTGGTGTGGGGAGGAGATTGGTAGCAGCACACACTTTGTGTCCGTGTCTACGCACACGTAAGCACACAGGCACACACCCACATCAACAGCCGCAACAGTAGTGTGGACTATGCTGTCGAGAAAGTGTGACCGCCGTGGCGTTGGAGCCCACTTATTGGGGTCTTCAGCTTCACAAATTAGGTAATCTCTTGATGATTTCCACGCATTTTGATCCTTTCGTTGACCACTCTTTGCCTCCTGATCGATGGTGTTTTTCATCTTGTCAAAATGAATGTGTATTAAATGAAAACAATGCATGTTTTATTCGTTTGCGAACAATGGTAAACAAAAAATCATGCTTTGACCGATAAATTCACAGAATGATAAATACTTGTTGAGTGCAATTTCTAGTTTTTTGTGCACTTATTTAATCCCATTTACGGAGCATTTTGCTTGACAGAACTTCAACATATTGCCAAGTCACCTTAATTTCGGTACTTATCGTGTTTGCCCCATCATTGGAGGGGAGAGAGGCACTGAGTACAGACTGCAAGAATCCTGTTAAGTCATTTTTCAGTCTGAATTTCTTTGCTAGTGCTTAATGTCAATTTACTCCGAGATAATAGTTCGAAGGGGAAGTTTCAAACGCCTAAATTGAAAACAGAACTTCTTTCCCACCCTTTCACCACAATAAATCCAACCAAGCTAGTTCACATAGATTCGCTCATTGGCTTATTTCCCCACACAGGGACTGAGTTCACTGCTTCGCGATCTGCGACAAGCAGACCGACGTCGTCCCCACCAGTGTTCTTTCCTGTTTCCTTGCCAGCCTCTGTCCGACTCTCTAGATCACGTTCTTCCGTTCTGTGGCAGACGTTGCCCACACACTACTCAATCTCCCCTCGAAGTGGCACCGTTTTCTCCCCACCACTTAAGCACCTTCAATCACTGATGGGGCGACCTCGCATAGCTCCTCTACAACCCATCAGAGAAAAAGGAAAATGCAGCATATAAAATATGAGAATTCCTCCTACTACCTATTTGCCCTTAAGTGCTATTTGAGTTCCAGACTGCTGCCTTGAAGTGTTCCATTCGACAGAATTTTAGTTCCACACTCACTTTGCGTTTGCATGGAGCTCATTCTTTCAACGCTATTCTCCTATTCCTTTTTCTATCACTCAAAACTAACTTACATAAATGGAGATTAACAACAAGTGAACTCTGAACCACCCACAAGAACCACTCGAAGTACTCTTATAACACTCTCAGCAACCGAATTCCCTTTATGCATAAACAAAGTACAAAGAGTAAGTCGACATGCTTCTTTCCTTGTTGACTCATGTCACTGATGGTCTAAACGACCTTTTTGAAGGAGGCCGTTGAAGATGCACCGGTCCTGGAGTCGGTCGTTAAGACCAAGGCAACCACCCTGTTTTTTCCTTCTGAGTGTAATCTCTTTTTCTTCGCCAAATGATTCACCCTCAGAGACGTAATTTGTGCTAAACTTAAGTCTCGTATAAGGAGAGACCTTTCATTTAAGTGGAACTTGAGGCAACTTCAGAAGCCCTACCCTCTTCTCCCGAGAATTGGCATCAGCACGGTGGAAGATTTTATCGCCAGTTGGGAACCATAAAAAAGACCTTAAATTTGGCCACCAAAATCATTCTAAATGGGACTAATTTATTGGTCTCCGCCTTCTCCCACTCTCTGAGACTCTGTGTGTTTGTAGTGAATGCAAGTGTAAAGAAGGATTGTGTGGAAAACCAGATTACCTCTACAGTGTATTTGTCAGCGGGTAGTGAGGGTGGTGATCCAAATTGTTTCTGCTCTTCTATTTCACCTCAACTGCTTTTAAAGTCGCAGATTTCATATCAGCTGATCGCACCGATGCAAAGTCAAATGAATTCACTACAAATTTGGCCCACTTAAACAAAAACTGCTTGTAAGTAATAATAAAGTCTTCCTAATAACGATGATGCTTAGTGAAAGCTGGTTCCTAGTTATCCTATTTACTCTTTTTAATTCCTTATTTTGTAATCGGCTTTTTACTTTCTGTGTGGTGGTGTTAAGCTTGTCGGAGTGATTGTGGTGCAAATTTTTGACCGCTATTCAGGCCACGGAGTTGAACGGGCTTGACCGCACAATCAGATCGAACACCTGTTCCCACAGACCGCCCCACACACTGCATACGTTTGCTGATGCCGCCCCTTCCACCTCCACCTGGCTTTGCCCCTACCGTCCCTGCATCCTCCTCTTCATTCATCCGGCCATCCGACCAATCACCACATTGCCGTGCCAACCAGCACGCAAACAGCAATCACATTCATGGCATTTCCTGCTTGACATATCGGCATGACCTCGCATGGCTGCAGTTTTGATTACTGTAGGGCGGTCAGTTCAATTATCTTCGGCCCACAAACGTGGATGCTCTCACCCCACCTACATTTCCTTGGTTATTTTTCCATGAAAGCACGGTAGCTTCAGCAGAATAGGAAGACGTTTTGAACATCAAAATCACTACAAAAGGATGTCATATAAAGTATTCCAAGTAACCATTGGATGGCGCTTAAAATTGTCTGTACAATGCAAGGAGTTTTGACATCTTTAGTTGAATCGTTTTGACAGATCTGTAATGCCAATCGTTGACAAGTTAGAAGGGGTAGCCACCACCTCTCTCCCCTCCGCACCCCTTCCATAAAATGCCAAGTGGCTATTCAAGTAGGGTTATGTGTAATTTTTCCAACTTTTATTACACCCAGGCTTCATTCTACGTGCCTCGGAACGGTGGCCATAGCTCTCTTTTTTTCCTTGATCGCTCCTGCCCTCGCGGTATGACAAAAAGACATTCCTATTTATATTTTGTCTTGCTACCTTTAAGTAATAAAGTATTTACGCACAAATGTGTGTCGGAAGTGTCACAAATTAGTTTTTGAAATTTCCTCAACTTAACGCCATTTATGATACAGGTGCCTTCAGCCTCTCCTAAAAAATTTGTGTTCGATTGTTTATATTGCAAATCAAGGTTAATACAGAGATAGAAACAGAATACACTAAAAGTCGTCGCTTATTTTTAGACTACCTTTATGAATTTTGAAAGGTAAACGTTGTAGTCTTTAGTGGGAAACACGTCTTTGAATAAAAAACTGGGAGACAACTACTAAATTGCGGTGCTAAAATTATGGCTTTTATCTTATAGCAAATTCCATGGCAAACAGATCCAGCACGTTGCCAAACATTGTGCACCCCAGACCAATGCCGATGCGTTGGAATTCAGGGTCCCAGAGTAAGTCCGTCTCTGCTACTCAAGTCCTCATTTCAGTAGATAAACGGGTAGTAATTGCAGGCACGTTTGATTTAGGGTCCACCAGGCGAAGTAGGACCAATGGGAGCTTGGGGACCTCCAGGCGACGTAGGTTTACCCGGACTGCCAGGCGAACAAGGTGATCGTGGCTATCCTGGGGCTCCCGGTCTTCAAGGTCAAAAGGGAGAACCGGTAAGAACCTTAAAATATTTCCTAATGATATCTTTTGCAAGTAGTTTAAAAAGATTATTGCCCTTACATACAAATGTTATCAAACAAGTGTAAAGTTTTAACTATAGACCTAAAAATTAGTCGTGTCAAAGTCTTCGAATTCCCTATCCAAGAAAGAACATACCATGAAAGGCAATAATGCAAAACAAATTGTTAAAGCTTGTCCATTAATCCATCGCACTTTTTTAAGATCCCCATTGAGTCCTATTCTTTTAAAGTGTTTTAATAACAAAAGTCTAATTTATTCATGAATGTGATAGGATGCAGTAAGTGTCAGTAAGTTGTTAAAATGCGTTCTCGTGTAAAAGTTTTAAATCTGACACTTTGATCTAGAGTAATTTAATACTGAATTTTTCACTTTTCAGGTTTTAAATAGTTTGTTTTAACATTTCATTACCGCTTTAGGGTGTTCAAGGTCCTCCTGGCTATGCAGGGGTCCACGGTTCCCAGGTGGGTTTTCTGCTCTTGTGCCTTTTATAATCTTCTCTAAATTAAAGGCTCATGTTGCGTGTACAAATACTGAATTTTAATGTGGGGACGACCAAAAGCAAAATTATGCTTTTTAATTTTGCTCCACAATTTCACCAACTTTGTTCCTCTCGTAGGGTCATCCGGGGGTAAGGGGGATCAAAGGTGAAAGAGGAGCCACTGGATGTGAAGGTCCTCGGGTAGGTGTTATCCTCACACTTTGCCCACCAAAAAATAGCTGTGATTCTACTCTAGTTTTTGATATTTCACCGCGTATTAGGGTCCAGATGGTAGTCCTGGAATCTCTGGACCGCCAGGTATTCAGGGACCTCCCGGCGAACGCGGTCCTCGTGGTCCTAAAGGCAACCCCGGATTCATGAACACTGGACCTCCTGGTCCACCGGTAGGCTGCTCATATGGACTTGAGCAAACCTTAGTTTAAGTTTCCAATAGTATAAGTAACTTGATTTGTCTGCACTAGCGGCTGCCCGAGTTTTCTAAAAGGTCCGTGAAGTTACTATTCTCTGTATTCGTATAGAAGGACCGATTCGAAAACTAGTTTTTCAGTTTGTACAAACATGGAATCGGGCTTGTGGGGCATTAAAGTGGATTTTTATTCATCTGTTAAAGCGAATACGAATGAGATCTGTCTACTCAACACAAGAGCGAGTTTTGAAAGGTTGTAGAAATGTTTCCTTGTTCTTCTAATGACATCAGGTTCTGAGGATTGCTTACCTCTTATGTTTTTCCTCTAGGGTCAGCCCGGCGATGTTGGCGCCGTGGGACCGCCCGTAAGTTCTAAAACTAAGTTTTGGCAAATTCTTGTGTAAACCTCCATGAAAGACTCGAGACAAATTTTTTGGTATCAACTAGTCATTATCATTACACCTCTTCTTTGGACTCGCACATTTTGTAGTAGGACGAAATAGTCACCATGACTTCGGCGAAATTATGTGCCTTGGCGTATTAACATTGCAGACAAAGTAAGCTGCCAAGTCAGAGCTGGTGGTTGGTTTATTTTCACTTCGCAAATCAAGTTATCAAATTTATTCATCACTGGGCGACGTATTCTTCAAATACTAAAACGCTGGAAATGAACATTCACGATGTATTTTTACACAAACAGGTCCTATTTTTTAAAAAATTATTTATATCAACTTATTATTTTTCGAGGGTTTTCGAGGCTCTCCGGGTTACGATGGACCAATAGGAGAACGTGGACCCACGGGTCCAAAGGCAGGTCTTCCTTGATTAACTGCCGATATCTCAAAACTCGGGATACACTCTCCCACATTTATGGGAAAACTTACTTTTTAGGGTTATAAGGGGGCTATTGGACCACGCGGTCCACCTGGCAGGGATGCACCGATAATCACAATTGAAGGACAGAAGGGTGACCAAGGCCGTCGCGGCATGCCTGGACGTGATGGACGACCTTGTGAAATCCTGGAACTCAGGTCTGGGCCGCGTGGCCGAAGCGGATATCAAGTTAGTGCATAATGCCTCTTAAATTGAATGTTTAAGTCGTGGAAAATGAATGAACCTGTTTTTCCTCTTTAGGGGCCACGTGGGCCAAAGGGAGATCGTGGAGAGAGGGGCACCGAGGGAGTTCCGGTAGGATTTTTTACTTGCACTCTAGAATAAAATTTTTTATTTCTTTGACTTGGGTTTTTTTCCTGGTTACCTTTTCTTTTGCAAAAATTAGTGGGAAAATAAATTTTTCAGGGACGAGACGGATACTCTGGACTGGCCGGGGAAAAAGGCCTTCCCGGCCGTGAGGGTGATCGGGTACGTTTACATTTTTTGTACCTGTTTTGTGCGCTGATAAAAAGTCGATGGTTCTTTCAATTCTCTACATTTTTATCATTGTAGGGCCAGGTTGGTGATATTGGCGACCCGGGCAGAGTTGGTGAACCCGTAAGCTTTCTAAATATTCAACCAGCTGTTGTTTTGATCACTAGACTGCCAAAGGGTTTTGTACTCGCTAGGGCGATCGTGGCTTTGACGGTGATACGGGAAGAATAGGTCCGGTTGGTGTTCCCGGTGAGCGCGGACCTCCTGGAGTTGATGGTCTTCCTGGTTTTAGAGGTCCCAAGGGTCGTCCAGGAGTATGTTGTCCTATCACCACTGTATTCTCAGCTCCTTAATTAGATCTCTTAACATTTTTTGGTAAAACCGATAGAGCCTTCGAGACTGTGTTGGTCCTCGAGGTCGAAAGGGCGAAATTGGACCTCCTGGCACAAAAGGTTTCCGTGGCTACGGCGGTCGTCAAGGTCCCACTGGTTACAAAGGTCCCAAGGGTAGCCCTGGTCCTCGAGGTAGACCCGGTCTTCCTGGTCGTATGTGTGAGACGGGTGAGATGGGACTGGCTGGCGAGAAGGGTGACACCGGTGCGTGTTTGAACTACCAAATAACTGGTCTCCATGTTCTGTGTACCTACTCAAATGGTTGTACAATACTACTTACTTTCGTCAACCAGGTATGCCAGGAATACGTGGAGAGGACGGCGACCCTGGTCTCATGGGTCCTCAGGGTCCCCGAGGCCCGGACGGTCTGACTCCGATGTATGGACCTGTTGGAGAACCAGGAATACCCGGTCCACCCGGTCGTGTAGGTCCCAAGGGCGATCCTGGTCCTCGTGGCGATCGCGGCGATAAGGGATATCGCGGCACCCCTACTGTTGGTATGCCCGGGCCACGTGGTCCTCCTGGCGATATAGGTGAAGCCGGACGCAGCGGCGCGCCCGGTTCAATGGGCCCACCTGGTGAAAAAGGCAAGCCTTTAGTCGCACTTGCATTTATTCTGAAATCGTTATCCTTATGGAGACTGCAGATTTTCCATTTCTAGATCAAAACACATTTCTTATTTTATCGACCGCTCGCGTAATCTCCACACTGCTGCTGTAGCTATGGCTCAGATGAAGACACTTAATAAATAATCCTTGTTCTTAAACCGATCTTGGTCTTTTTTCAGGTCCCAGAGCCCCACCTTGCGATGCCTGCGCTGCAGGTGAGCCGGGTGGAAGGGGAGAGACGGGAGAGGACGGAGAAACTGGACAGCCCGGTCAGCCGGGTCAAAGGGGTCAGGATGGTGATCGGGGCATCCCTGGCTCTCGCGGGCCACCTGGTCTACCTGGTCTTGACGGTTATCGGGTCAGTTTTAAGTATGATTTGTTTGACTTCCAATACTGCGATCTTTCGTTGTGCCATGAAGTAAAATTGTTTGAATAGCTTAGTGATTGATGTCAAATTAGATTTCTTCGTTTTCTTGACAATGTGAATCCATTTTTCTTTTTATGGTAGGGTCAACAAGGAGTTGCAGGCATTCCCGGTCCTAAGGGTGAGCCGGGTGAAACTGGCTTTGTGACAATTACAAATCGTGAGGTCATCCCTGGTTCTCAAGGTGACTCTGGACGAGACGGCTTGCCAGGTGCCATGGGTGATCGTGGAGAAATGGGACCTCCTGGTTTGCCTGGTCCCGCTGGTCCCAGAGGTCCTAAGGTGATTCATTTACCCATTGCCTAGGAGAATGAGCATAATGAAACAACTAATAAATTGTAGTTGGATAGCTTCAGTGATTCACTGCTTTATGCTGGAACTTTGCGATTTCTTGCAGGGCCAACCGGGCGTTGATGGTATGGCAGGCTATCTTGGTTCTCCTGGAGACAAGGGAGAACCAGGTGAACCCGGAGAAGACGGTTATGGTGTTAAGGGCGCCAAAGGCGAACCCGGTGATATGGGTATCAGCGGCCCGCCCGGTCGTAGAGGTCCTCGTGGTGGAACTCTCAGTTGTCCTATTGTTGGTCCTGTCTATAAAAAAGGTAAGCAATGGGAAACTCATTACAGTTTTCTGAATCTTCAAAGTCAAATGCCAATAAATACTCTTAGGATGTTTGCTAATAAAATTTAACTGAATTTTGTGCATTGCACAATAATGCCGTTTCAAACACATTTTCGATCTCCCCTCTTTTCTGGTTTCCCTTCACTTGCCGCTTTTATGTTTGGCCGAACCATTTCTGCCAGCTAGACGGGTTGGTCATCTCTTGATGTTTTTCCTCCAATAGAAATAGGTATAACTGTTGAAGTCATTTATGGATAAATGTAGCGCTCTTTAAAGCACTTGTTAAGGTTACACTTTATTTCTGCTAATTTTATCGAATAAACAAATGCGCCTTCCTGGTTTTGGACTAATTCGTTTTCGTTTGCCTAACGTACTGATTTCGCCAAATAGGTGAACCCGGATACCGCGGTCCTAAGGGAGACCCAGGTTCTGCTGGACCTCATGGACAAACTGGTCTTCAAGGCACAAAGGGTGAGTTGCCGCCTCGGTTGCCCACGCGTGGAGATACAACTGTTCCTGCGTCGAACAGTGAAACGTTTAATCGTTTTCACTGATAGGCATCCAGGGCTTGGCTGGCCAACGTGGATCACGTGGAGATCGTGGACCCCGAGGGCCTCCTGGTTTGCCAGGAGATGTAGGCATACCTGGTCCGAGCGGACAAGACGGGCGAGAGGGTTCATTTGGGCCATCAGGCGTTCCTGGTCAACCTGGCCCGGTTGGTGACGCCGGGTACCCTGGACGTGGTGGAGAGAAGGGTAAGTGGTAGTTCAATGGTTCAATGATTGGAAAAACAACCGATTGAGCTTCTGGTTGGCTAATTACTCGATTGTAAAAGTGTTGGTGTATTTAGTTGTTGACTGACCGGTTGGGTGGTTAGATTGAGAACGAGTTTGAAAGACTTTGTTTGGATATTTTTTTCTAGGCGAACGTGGTGAACCGGGAGATTCAGGCATTAGAGTGAGTGGTCCTCCTGGCGAAAAGGGTAGGCCGGGCCTTTCAGGCCTCCCGGGTGATCGTGGTCCTCCAGGCCGCACTGGGTCTATGGGTCTTCGGGGTCGACCTGGTAAGCGCCTATTTTCCTTGCCTTTGCATTTCTCCTCCCTCTTCAATCCTCTAGTACTTCCCAACTCTTATTTTTCCTCAGGTCATTCCGGAAGCAGTGGGATACCAGGGACTTCTGGTCGAATGGGTCCACCTGGAGAAAAGGGTCCTAAAGGCCTTCCAAGCACAAGAATGTCTTCAGGCGCTCCTGGTCCTCCAGGGGTTCAGGGGCCACGCGGTTTGCTTCCTTAGTCTATTGTCCATTTCAGATTTTAGTAGAACCCTGGCATTTAATCCGCTTTGTGCTTTTCCTAGGCCCTGTTGGGTCAAAAGGTCAACGCGGACCCCAAGGAAGATGCTACGGACGAGGACCCAGTGGGGATATGGGTTCCCCTGGTGATCGTGGATACCCTGGAATGCAAGGATCTCGAGGTCCAGAAGGTGCAATTGGACTTCCAGGGTTTCAGGGCCGAAGTGGGAGAGCAGGAGAAAAGGGCGAACGTGGTCCCAGAGGACCGACACCCGAACCCGGTAGACCTGGGCCTGCTGGTCCATCTGGTCGACCTGGATATCCTGGACGTTCTGGCAGACCTGGCGAAGTTGGAATACCCGGTTTTCCTGGACAAAAGGGTGAGTACAACTGAAGTTGGCAAAAAACACCTCAGTGGTTTTTGAACCATTTTTTTGTCTTTTACAGGTTCTATAGGCCTGCCGGGTATTTCAGGACCGAAAGGTCGACGCGGACGTCCAGGAATCTCTCGCGGTGGACGTCCAGGTGCTACTGGACGTCCCGGTTTAGAGGGTCCAAAGGGTGAAAAAGGCATTCGTGGAATTGATGGCAAGGATGGCAAGCCTGGCGAGCCAGGTCGTCCTGGCGTTGGAAGCTCTGGACCTCCTGGACCAAAGGGTTACAGAGGACCTGTCGGGGATCCTGGTTCTCCTGGCATGGACCCCGTTCCTGGACCTGTGGGAGATGTCGGCTATGAGGGCAGAGTAGGACCTAAGGTTGATGCCCTTTTTTTTGTAGAGTATTAACTTTTAAAGAGACGAGTAGAAGTTTTTCAGCGCCTACTCATTTGAATTAGGGATCGCGTGGTCTTACTGGGCCTGTAGGCTTTACGGGACGTGAAGGTCTTCCTGGCAAAAAGGGCGAACGTGGTGAGCCTGGAGATGATGGACTACCGGGCCTCCCAGGTGACCAAGGTGATGCAGGATACCCGGGCCCTTCACCACGCTTTATGAAGGGCCGCAAAGGGTATGAGGGTCGTTCTGGCCTTAAGGGATATCCGGGACCTGCTGGTCCTTATGGTGAAACTGGCCAAAGAGGTACTCTTGCCTCAGTGTCCAGATTCATTGCAAATAAACCATGTAAGCGTATATTTGGCTCCTTCAATTTGTAATTCAGGAAGAACCGGAACGGCGGGTCCGAGTGGTCGGCCAGGTGCACGTGGGCCGGATGGGTATCCAGGACTACCGGGGGATAAAGGCGCACCTGGCTATCCTGGACGCCCAGGTGCGAATGGAACAATGGGCCCTCCAGGGGATTCGGGTCTCCCAGGATTTCAAGGGCAAGCCGGACGTCAAGGCCCTTCTGGTTTGAAAGGTGCTAAAGGTAGACCTGGTTTCTGTCCAGTTCCGCCTCCTGGGCCGAAAGGAGAACCTGGACCTCGTGGAAGACCGGGCCGTGACGGATCTCAAGGAGAGAGAGGTGAGTGTAGTTGAGGTAATGCCTTTTATGGGTGGAAGGTTGCCTTATTTGAGGAGTTAACTGATAACGTTAAAGTTTTTCCTTAAGAATGTTTATTTTTTGTTTTCCAAAGGGGTGGAGGGTCTTCCTGGTCTGAAAGGTTCGCCAGGCCAGCCGCGAATGGGTCCAGAGGGTCGTAAAGGTGAAAGAGGCTTTGATGGCCAACCAGGAAACATGGGTGGGTAGATGAATTTGCGCTGCTGTCCACTTCTTCTTATAATTAGTAGATGTTGTATATGGGCATTTTGGTCCTTTGCATTGTTTGAGGTTAATTTTTTGGTAAGTTAAATGGATGTAAGCTTTGTATGACACTACAAGTTGCCTTTACTTCTCAGCTGTTTACGTACTCTATACAGTTCATTCTAACAAGTAAGCAACATGTCCTTCTCTCAAAGGCTCGCCTGGAGATCATGGTGACCGTGGCATACCTGGATATCGTGCCAACCGCGGAGAACCCGGGGATATGGGTCCACCTGGCCTGCGTGGGGAAAGGGGACCTATGGGACTGCCGGGTAATAATGGCCCTCCCGGATATCGTGGAGCTCCCGGTAAGGATGGTGTAAAAGGTGAACCTGGACTACCTGGCATTTCTGGGCGTCCAGGACCCGATGGACCTATAGGCGATCATGGCGAGCCTGGAATTCGTGGCATCGATGGCCCAATGGGTGAGTTAAGGGCTTTTATTGGTATCGGTAGAACAAATGGTTTAAAATTGAAAGGATAAGATAGTGGAATGGTGGTGTGCCAGGATAAAAGAATAGGCAAAACTTGGGCTTTAATCTACTAGTGACGATTGGACTTTTTATTTGACCTTTATATTTGGCTACTTCCGTCTGATCACCCGATAATGAGGTCACATTTAAATCGCCTTCTTCTCCAGGTCCTGCTGGCCGTCCAGGTTATCAAGGGAAACCGGGGCAAAAAGGAAAGTCCGGCTATGGTTTTGACGGCAGGCCTGGTGATTTTGGTGACCCCGGACCCAAAGGTGAACACGGCTACCCTGGCTTCCAAGGTGAGTCCACGCATTCGTTGCCTAAATGGTATTTCTGTAGTGACACCTCTAGACTTTTGGTAATGCGTTGTCTCGCCAACCTTTAAATCCGTAAGGTACTTCGGGCAGAATGGGGCCTCCAGGCGAAAAGGGATACAAGGGCTCCGCTGGTTACATTTCTGGCCCTCGGGGTCCCTCAGGAGAACGCGGCCCTCCTGGCGACATGGGTTACCAAGGCACCAAGGGTCAACGTGGTCCCCAAGGTTATCGCGGTCCTGACGGTCCCAACGGTACTCTGGGTCTTGGCGATGGCGGATATCTCTTTGCCGTTCATTCTCAGAAAGATACTCCACCCAGCTGTCCTGAGTTCACCCATGAACTCTATACGGGTTACAGTCTGGTGACAGTTCAGGGTGACGACGACTCAATCACCATGGATCTGGGTAGTCCTGGATCCTGTGCTCGCGTCTTTTCAATCATGCCATTCGCTTCGTGCTTCAGCTCTCCTCCCTCTGGTGCATGTCAATTCAATATGCGGAATGGGCGGTCTTTTTGGCTCTCAACACTGGAGCACTATATGACGGAACCTCTGCCTGTGGAAAGTATTCAGCGATATATCTCCCGTTGTGTGGTATGTGAGTCGAGAACAAATCTTGTCGCTTTCCACTCACAACGACCTTATCTGGAGGAAAGCTGTCCACCTGGATGGGAACACGCCTGGAACGGGTTTAGTATGCCCATGGTAGGGATAGTTTATAGGTTATTTGACGATTATAAGTTGGAAAACTTGAGTGTTCATTTTATTTACTTGTGCACTATAGGTGGTCAGCGCAGCAGTGTCTGGTGGAGTGCAGCCACTTCACTCACCAGGCAGCTGCCTCATGAATTTCCGTGCTCTTCCCTTCATTGAGTGCAATAATCATCATGGCAATTGTTTTCACTGGCAAGACGGGCGTTCCTATTGGCTACGTGCAATGACTTTTAATGAACAGTTCACAAAGCCTGTGGGAGCCACGTATAAGACGGATTTGCTGAGACAAGTCAGTAGGTGCTCTGTCTGTCGAAAGTCTATGGAAGTGCTGGTGAAGTAGGAGAGTTTCAAACAACAAACCTACACACCATTACCGATTAGGACTCTTTCATGATCCCCTTTTCTCAACTCCCGCTCCACTTTCTTACCTCCCTCCTCCCTCTTCACCTTCGGAAGAAAAAGTGGCAGGAGAAGTCTCTTGATTAGTGCCTGTTCTAGTATATCTTCAATGCTCCCTTTTTTCTCCCAATATATCTTTTATCGTGTGTTGAGTCTTGTCCTTCCCAGCCAAGAGTTATGCTAGGTGCAAAAAGTCATTTGAATTGTGACCTCCTATGATTTTCTCTACCTAACAATGAATGAAAATCTAGAAGTTAAAGGCTTAAGTATTTATTTTCCACCTCCTTACCCCTTATCTTCCGTCTTTAAGTGTCCACCCTCCCCCGTATGCCCTCTCTCCCAACTTCCAGTCACCCCTGTCACTTGCAGCCCTGACTTGTACATGGCTTTTGCTAGTAAATTTCAGGTTCTATTGACAGGTTCCAGTCTCCTTCTCCCTCTTACTTTGTCCACGGCGGGGTTCCACCTGAGAAGGAGTAGATTCCATGGGGGTGTTATACTCAGAGGTCAGTGATGTCAGACTAGCCTGGCGCACCTCGTACTCGCTCAAATTGTTACCTTCAGGGTACGTGATTACTTTGGAAGATCTAGCTAAGTCATCGCTGAAAGGAAAATGTGATCGACTGGGCAGGCATAGTTGAGCACTCGACACGGATCAGAGTGATTGCTGTAAAGACTATCATTGGTAGAAAAAGCTAGTTTTTATCAATCTGTCACTCACGTGCTGCGTTTGACAATTTTTGGTACAAACAAACATCCTCAGGGTCGAGTTCTGCATCAACACTATCGTCATATCTTTGGCTAGCAAACGTGCAGACGAGTTCTGTCCCACTAGTCTCGACTCAAAATTAGCGCACTACAATGAGACGTCAGAGCCTGATATTCGTTAATTGATGTGATTGAATTCCATCCATTAAAGTGAACTTGAAAGATGTCAGTTGGGTTGACTGCACTTTTCAATTTTGTGTGCACCCTGAATGGACTCGTGCATCGCCATCACCTTTCATGACCTGGTAAACTGGCTGGCAAGTGCAATTGATTTCCAGTGGTGGAATAAAATTCATGACATGTGTGCACCGCTTGACAGTAGCCAGAAAAGACAATGAAGCTTTCTCTGACGTTGGTTTTGTGTCTCCTAATGAGCAGCAATGCCTTCACCACCTCTGGGGTTTCACAACAATCAGTGACTGCTACGTTGAGTAGTTTTGAGGTCACAGATTCAAGCACTTTGACTTCTCTCGACAGAAAAGGTGACATGACAGTGGTGGAAGAGAACAAATCGCCCGAAGTTTTGATGGGAAATGAGAGTGATGGTTCTACAATTCCTCCAAAGCCAGAAACTAAATCAAAATCTACTGTGGTCTCTGTAGATGCTTCTGAGGCATCACAGATAGCGGATGTAAAGGGGCTACCTGAAATTTCGGAGGTCTTCACAATCTTGCAAACTTCAGAAAACAAAGTCGCGTCTGCTGAAGGCGCAACTGCGGAAAGCAAAGCAAAATCGTCAGAAGTGGAAATCGACTTTGAAACCTCTGACATGCCGTCAGGTGCCTTTGTAGCTCCTGAAGCTGCTTTTAAACCAGTTGAAATGCTGATACCCAAGCCAGAAGTGAAGACTTTGACTAAGGAGGAAAGTCGTGGAGGCGAAGTTGATTCTACAACTGATTGGACAATTCAACTGCCAGAACTGGAAACGGTAGGAAAATCTGCGTCCAATGGTACATTGTCTAACTCTTTCACGGCTTCAGAAGCCACTTCCACACCCGTCGACATGTCGGCATCGACTTTGGAGGTGCAAGAAAAAACGAGAGACGAAAGTGACAAAAGCTATGTCACCTCGAAACCTGGTGAGGTCCACATCGGGCCAAATTCGAATACCAAAACACCGCCTCTTGATGAATCGTTCTGTTCTTCTACGCCGCTAGAAGCCGCTCTCAAGCCCGTTGACACATTGACATTGACTCCAGAAGTAAAGGCCAAAAAGATGCAAGAAATTGGTGAAAGCGAAGTCTCCTTCACCACTTCTATGGCTTCCGAAGCCATCTTCAAATCTGTTGAAAAGTCAGTGGTGGATAGTGAGGAGGAGGTGATAAGATATTTGATAGTTTTGTGCGCCAACCTGCTTCATGGCGAAGGAGATGCGGAAAGAGCGAGAGAGATTGCAATCATCTTGACGCGACTTGTGCATGTCTGTTATCAAGATGTTGGACCTGAAAGGTACCATGAATGTACCCCTTGGCTCAAGTAGTTGGTTCTGCTTCTCATTAATTAATTTCACAATTTCTATCTCTTTGCTTTACCTTGATTTTTGCGGCTAATTTGAAATAAATAACAATAAAATTGGGATTTTTTTTCATTTTCTTTCCCGAGATGGTTTTGCTTCTTGCTGATACCGAGGTAGAAGCTGGAAACTTCCCCAAAGGCAGAGCCGGTTTGACAAAAGAGTGTAAATTAGGAAAGAAAGTGTATGGATGGATGAGTGGGCGAATGAAATGATGGATGGACGGACAGACTCATGGAAAGTGAGTTTATGGATGGATGAGTGGACGAAAATAGGATGGTCAAGTGGACGACTTAAGTCAGTGTATAAAAAAAGAAATTTTTATTTAAGCCGCTTTGTCGGCTCATATTTACGTTGAAACCATTTTCAAACCCTGAGACGAGTCATCATTTCTACTTGCACGATGGCTCATGACCATTCATTATTGGTTTGTCTGCTTCTCTCACTGTCTAAGGGGATTTGATTTTCTTTCCATCACAAAAGCACAAGTCGTGCGCCAAAGTAGTCCTCCAGTACAGGGAATTGATTAAGCCTGACCTTTCAATTAGTTCACCAATGACATGATCGTTCACAGTACACGCACTATTGGAGATGTCAACTAGACGAGCTTTTTGATTGCACTCCATGCTCCACTCGAATCATGAAGGCGCTGGTGTTAGGAGCGCTGGTGTTAGTGCTGGTCACTGTGGCTTTCTGCATTCCTGCAACAGGGAAGAATGGAAAATTCACCCAACATCCAACTCGAAGTCGGGGAGTTAAGACTTCTGGTGAATCCGAGAGGACAGCGCTTGGTAATGAACTTCAAAATTCGGGTCCGGGGTCTGAACCTGGAGGCGACTCTACGAACCAGAATGCAAACGATAGCGGAAGGAGAGGCAGAAAAAGTGAGGAGAAGAATAGACCTAGAGGGAGGAAGAGGACAGAAGGCACTACAGCTTCCACCACCCCCGCAACAACCATCACCACTTCCACGGCAATACCTCAAATCGCTGAATCTAGTAAAACACCAGAACCTGATTTTGTCTTTGACAATTACAAAACAATTCAAGAAGTGGATGACGCCGAATCTATCAATGCCACAACAAAGTCAGTCAGTGAGGAGTCAAAGAATACGAAAGCCGGAATTGCTGTAACTACAGACAAAATGGATAGCATGGAGGGGAAGAACAAAAACAAGGCACCGATTTCAAAGAAGCAGAGTTCAGACAAGAATGCGGCAAAATCCTCAGGTCTCCACGAATATCACCAGTCCCGGCCATACCTTGACTACTACCAGGAGGTCCCTCCTGAATATCTCATGCCACAAATGGAAGAATTTCCTTACGAACCGCAGTCAACGAGTTGGAATATTTACGGTCACAACTTCTATCCATCATCACCGATGGGAGGCAGCCCACATTGGAGCCCACTCCAAGACCAGTTGTACGAGACCCTCTACAACCCAATGTGGCCGGAGGAGGAGCAGTTCTATGACATGGGACCATATTGGTGGGACAACATGGTGCAAATCAATAAAGAGAGTTGCTGTAGCAAAAAGAACAAAAAGAAGACGACGACAACGACTGTAGCGACAGTTTCAACAACAACGACGGCACCAACTACAACGTCAAGCTCTGTAGCTACAGAACTGGTAGCTACATCACTTCCGACTACCACCACTACCGCTGCTGCTGCTATCATGGATACCACCGCAACGACAATTTCAAACACAAACTCAACCTGGAAGAGGATTGAAGGTCTGCTGAGGGGGTAAAAACCAGGGATGTTTCATGAAATACTTCAAAAAATCCAAAACCCTCTGAATGATGCTGTTAATGGGGAGACGGAATAGAAGATGACAACCAATGCGCTTCTGCCTCCCTCCTCTCCCTAACTGAGTTAAAAACTTAAAGTGAGTGACTTTTGAGTCTTCTGCCAAAGAAGTCGAGATCTTGAAATCCCCAAATCCCAAAAGTTAGTGGTCGTCCAGTTATAGGAGCAAAAGTAAGGGGCGGGGTAAAGACCAGTGGGTGTCTTGAGGGGATTGTAAGCAAATCCACCAAAGTAGTTCTTCTAGACATATATCAGCGATAGCTATGAGGAAAAATAGGGACTGGAGTTCCCGTCGTTCCCTCAAGTTAGATAAACCAGAGGCACCACCACTGGGAGGAGGAGCGGTAAGACGCCATTCAGAAGAGGGCCCCAATAATCTCTGTGCTTTTGGTGGTACAACAACACCACCTTCAGGAGGACACACCACCCCTTCAAGCACTCCACCATCGAGTTTTTCTCTATTCCCCGCCTCACATTTGAAGTAGCCATGGCAAGGGTAACAATGAGTGACGTCAACTAAGCGAATTCAAATTCAAACTAATGATTATGGACAGATGCGCCATTTCCTTAGTCTGCTTCATTTAGCGAGAGCAAAGGGCCACGTCTTATTTCTCCGCCGACTCCGTGTGTTTGCCCGCATAACTAGCAGAGGAGCAAAAATGAAGTGGCTTTTTAGTCCTAAAATTATGTGGCAACAATACACGATTTGGAGGGAGCAATAGGTTAGTAAAAAGGATCAGATGAAGAAGCAATCCGAAAGAAAAAACCTCTTTTCGTTCCTGCAGTTGTAGCAGAGGTTGGTAGAAGAGAAGGCCGCTGTTCGGTTTCTGAAACGAAAACAAAAACACCTGCTAAAGGAAGATCAGAAAGCAGCATTCACAGGGAGCGTGCTACTCATAAATAGTTAGTAATATGCACAAAAGATTTCGAATAGTGTGAGCACTTACAGATGAAAATCACAGTGAGCTATTTTACTGGTCATCACCATGCTGATCTGAAAATGAAAAAAGCGAGATTACTTTGGAAACCTACTTAACCACTTCACTAAAGTTCTACAATAGCAGTGTGGCAGTAAGAATAAAAGAACGCCACAAAAAAAAATGGTGCTAAGACATCAAAGCTAAATTTACCACCACAGACCTTAAAAAGCTGTTTTCAGTGATACCTTCGCACTTGTAACTACTTATAAAGCCCGATTACTAATAAATGCTTTAAACCACCTCGGCAGTGTACCTTCTCATCTTGGTCGAATTGATACTGGTCTACCTGATTTGGACTGGATGTTCCATGGACAGCGTTTAACTTAACTTTAAAGCAACCCAAAAAGCCTTATCAAGAGTCTAGAATGGAAAGATGAGGAGGGGTCTCAACCTCAACGATTCCAATGGCACATCATCAAATCACGATGTGTCACATTTCAGAAAGTTAATTCTACTCTTTCAAAGTGGGCGTGTGAGCACAGAATATTGGAAAAGCAAACCACGATGGAATAATCAAACCGCAGTTACAACGAGTAAAAAGGTCAAGTTGTGATGAAAATTCTTCAGTAAATGCCATCCACTTCATTGCATGTTGTGTTTTGGCAGCCGCCTGTCTGATAGATAACATACACCAAGCTTGGAAGCCTATGTGAGTACTTTCGAGCTTTTGGCTCCATGACAGACTAAATTACGGGTAAATTTTCATATTAAAGCCTTAGACACCGAATAATCCACTCACTGCTATGATCTCGGATCCATTTGACTTCCTCTCTGCCTCTCTAACTTTGGCGAACAAATTTTTGCCATTTTGTTGGTAAAATATGCCCAACTGAACGATTGGAATGGTTCATTCAAGAAAAAAAGATTGCAGGTTTGAGCTAAACATCAGGGAGAAAAACCATTGGTACAACCACAGATCACACATCCCATGATAGTTCGGTATTACATTCCTCAGCGTAACATGACATGTCGTAGTCTACAGCAACTCACCCATTTATTCACATTTTTCAGTTTAAAAGAGCAGACTGAACTTTCTGTCACTTCAAGCCTACCAATCAAAGATGTAAATTCGCTTCTAGCCAATCAGCAGTGAATGAAAGATAATCAGGCTCGCGCGTTTGATTGGTCGGCTGACACAGAATCTTCTTTCCGCCCAGCTTTATCTAACTTAGACCCATCTTCTCATTTTTTCGTTCCTTTTTCGCATACTCCAGCACCATAACTAAGAATTTACAGCCCTATTTACAAAGCTTTTAATTGTTTTCAAGTCACGCACCCATAAACAATGCACGCCTGGAGTGGCCTCAGGACATTCGAAACGGACCAATAAAAATAACAATTAGCACATTCACATGGAAACCGTGTTAAAATGCTACAAAAACGCCACATCTATAAATGCACCTTATGGGACATGATTTGTGAAATTGGGATGATGAGTGATAAACGTTTTGTGATGTTGCTAAAACTAAATTTTTAATACAAAATGAAGCAACACATAAGAGATGACTGATAAGGCCAAAGGGTGGTAAACATGTCAGGTGAGACAACAAATAAGGTGCCAAAATTCAAGGCAAGGAAGACACAAGTTAACAATGATGCCCTCAAAAAGACTTCAAGGGCGACACGAAAGGTGCACTAGCACCGATTCTCATCTATGGCTTTGGATCAACTGCAGTTGAGGCGCAGAGACACCTTTGGCCTTGCATCAAGTGAGTGAAGGGAGCACTGAATTCGCAATTTACTATTCAATGTTGTAGTGTAAAAAACATTGCAGCAACGAAAATTTGACTTCGTGCTTCTCAGCTCCCTGAGACCATATGAATCTATTTCGGACTTTAAAACAGACTGTGAGGAACTGGGTGAACAAATCATCCAAATGAATCCGAAATGGGTGGATAGATGAGTGGATAGAGGATAAGATGGAGTTTGGCAGATGGTCAAATGATAAGGGCTAAAGTTGTAAGCACCCACTCGCCTCCTTCGAGTGATTTAGTCTTCCCACGCCACCTGAAGATAATCGCTCTCCCTCAAGTACTCCACATGGCCTAGAAAATCAATCGTCAACGCATATACTCATCCAACCAGACGTCTGGAGGTCGACGCTTTCCCCCCTTATCAGACCCAAATCCTAACTCACGTGGCTTTGAAAACTTGTCGAGGTTATCCGCACTGAATGACCTTTGAATTGACACCACCTGAACATCCTCTCCAACTAGACGACAATCCAAACTGGAAAGTGTGGATACACCAGAGGTTGTGAGAGAGGAGTTGGAAAATATGTAGGATTCCATATCTAGCACCTCCTTTCCTGCCCGTTCTGCTGGTGTTTTTGTTTTACTGGTCGTAGCCTTTTGAGAGGGTGGTGATGATATCGAACCCTGTCTACCATCTCTCCGTTCGGCGTCACTATCGTTTGCTTCACTCGCCGCATCATCAATCCATGAACTGATAGGTTTTGAAAGAATTGGATCACAGATAGTTGCATCATAGACAATAAAGCCTCCATCCATGTCAATCTTCAAGGTGAATTGGTCCAAATCGTCCAGAGGATTGTCGTCAATGTAACCGTCGTCTTCGTCATCCTCTTCCACGTTAACGAATGGACTGTCACTAGCTGCATGAGCCTTAGAAATGCCATTCGACTGGGTACCGATAGCTGCTACTCGACGGATGTCTACAAGAAAAAAAGGAGGAAACTAATTTGGAGAAGAAAGGACCTGCAACAGGAAAGAGCCCATGTGTAAACTCGAAAGACGCATACATCATTACTAAAGAGGCAGTAAACTGAAAATGTATTGGAACGAAAGCCAAGAAAACAACATTTCTACGGACACAGAAGATACCCACTGAGCTTAAAACTCCTACTTGATCATAGTGCTACCCATCTAGACCTAAAGAATCTGAATGCCAGGAGAGAGTTGAGATGGAAGAAACGTCGTCAGAGAGGAGATCGTCCCAAGGATAAGATGTGGTGCACGACGTCTTTGCTTTACTCAAAACGGAGATAGAGAAATACAAGCAAAATTCCTCTCCTTCCCACCTCGAAGTGAGGCAAGTGGTCATAACGTGAACAAGCTTGCAACAGGAAGAAAACTTTTACTTTTGAGACTTTCTGATCCAAGTCTGAAGCACATCAAGTAGGCAATTTGTGCCAATCGGTAGCAGGCTGATGTATATCCATACTCAATCGGAAGTGTGAAGACTAGCTATCACTTCATTCGATCCTTCTTTCAAATGATCACGATGAACTAAGGGTGAAATGAGCTTTCTATCTGAAAGCCTGCTAAAAAAGGACCAAAGGAGGAAAGTAGGTGGAGTCCAGCATGTACTCTCATTTGCATTAAAGCCTGCTACGATCGTATCGCGCAATCAAAATACGCATTTATTTGGACGGGCTTGCCGATCGGATCACTCACACTCGCTCTCTCTCGATGGTGTGATCGCGCTCTTGAGTGCCTAATCGACTTGCATTTGCATTGTATTTCCCTGTGAGTGCGGTGTGCATAAATTAGGGAATAAAGGGACCACCTTAGTCTAGTGAAACAGTTTTCGGTGGCTTTCCGTCTAGCTAGGTAGGTCACCAATTTCGTGACTCTTCATGCACCGATCGTGTGCAAAAACGACCATGAAAGAAGACGCCTGGCGCGAAAGCAAGAATTTACGGTGATTCAGCAGAAGAAATTCACTAGGTACCAAGACCACCTCAATTTTTCGATATTTGGTTCAAAGAAAAGCGCGTTTAATATGGCCATTGCTTGGACAGGAAGTTCACACAAGTAAATTCGGTTGTAGTTGAGCTTCAACTGAAACTCCTAAAAAGTACGAAAAGATGGCCTAATTCCAAGACATCTTACTCATCACAGTAGCAACCAGACTCAAAAGACAAGCATTCTACTGACTACTTTATAAGTAGTACCATGCATCAGTATCACCTGAAAGTTTAACTTATCCCCACAAAGGAGAGTAGTCTTCTAATTAGTGACCCAGTAATCAAATCTAAAAACCTACGGTTGTCTTTACTGCGGATGACATTGCCCCGTATCCATTGGCCGTCAGTGCCCTTGGGGGCAGGTGGAGGCGGCCAAAATGCGGGAGTCGGCTTGGACGGAGACGGGGGTGGGAACGGAGGTGGTGGTGGCGGTACCATTGAACGTTCAGGAGTTTGCCGGGATACGACAGGCCCACCCGATGACCTAAACGAGTTGTGGCGAAAACGCGGTGGCGGAGGCTGCTGCGGGCGAAAACCACTTCCAGCCCCACCGCCACCACGGTGGTGGAAGGATCGCGAGCTCTGTCGAAGGTTGGAGGGATCCAATGAGGGCATGGATTTTGCTGGAGTCAGAGTTTGTTGTTGTTGCTGTTGTTGCTGCTGGTGGTGGTAGTGCTGCTGTGGTCCATTTCTTGGACCTGGTGTAGAACAGCGTAAGAAATCAGCTGTATGTTATAAGACAGACGATGATTGGGTGCAACCTCCCAGAGGTTGTAAAATGCATTATATGACGGCTATCTCGAAAAAATTTGGACTCCAGTTCAGACAAAAGCACGCACAAGTGCAATGGCACAAGGTCATAGACCTGCTGCACATGCACATACACAAGTCTTGCATATCACATCCTAACGCCAATCACGCTTTTGTCGATTGGATTGCAGAGGCCTGTTTCACCCACTTCTAGACGTTCTTGAGTAAATTTAGCATAAACCATTGGGTCCAAAATATTGGACAAATACTGCTCGTGCCTGGAGGCGACACAGCTGGTGTGCAGCACATATACTACTGTTCAATAGAATAGTAGCAGAACCTGAATCAATATCCACAAGCCTTACTAAGCCGTAACAACTTTAACGGCAATGCACGCCCCAAAATTAGGAACTGTTATTTGCCAAATAAGTGCAACTTACGCTACTGATTACAGCAGTAATGCAGTCAGTACTGCCAAATGTATCGCCTAATGTGCAAATAAGTGGGCGCAAAGTAAATTAAGCAGTCCTCTTGTGCCTTTATGACAGAACTATCACCCAAATTTCTCTACCTTGTTTGATTTCGTTTGCTTCACCAGAAAACCTACGGACACTTTAAAGAAGGTCAAATATTTGCTAAAAGTCATCCAGTAGGGCTTACGAATAAAGAAATGATTGAAAAACTGTCTCTAGTAAGTTGTACTGCCGAAAAAGACAGCCAACAAGAGTGAGATAAGGGAACAATTTTGCACTAAACGAGAGTTTCCTTTGAACAAGACAAATCATTAACGCGTAATAGGGGCACGAAGCATAACGGACTTAAGTGCATCCTCTCAAGACATTTTTACCAAGGTGGGACACACAATAAATGAAGATTAGAGCAAATCCTTAGATAAATAATTCCCTTTGAATGAAGAATACTCTTCGCAATGATGTGAAGCCATCCTTAGGAGAAGAGAAAAAATCACAGCGACTCTGAGGAAATGGCGGTAGGAAAAAAGGATCAAAAATACAGGACTTGACAGCCTTCATATTTACATTATTACTATCAAACGAGTGCATGGGATAGACGACTCCCATAGATGCCTTTTTGGTAGGAGATGTTGGCTTGCATTAGCTTGGAATTAGAACATCCTTTGATAAACAAATGACTTGCACACGGCTGAGTTGTTTCGAGTAAATTATTCGATCCCAACACACTCACACACAGTGGACCCGCAATGGAATCGAGATGAGGGTGTGGGTTACACACGTGCGAACCAACAAATTCACAACTACACATGTTGAGAATCACAAGACTTCATTCTCAGCACACAAAACGTCGAACATTGGTGAATGGAGCCCAACAACATGTGATAAAGTCCTCTACCGTCTCCTGCATTTCCTCCACCAAAACTGATGAGGCGCCAACTCAAATCGTAACTCAGGCGAATTCAAGCCGCTACACACTCCATGACGCCATTCAAATGAGGGGATCAAAGTTTCGATTTTGTGAGAGAGAGGAATACTTCACTAACCTTGTCGGTGCGAGAAGTGACCGGAGAAGTTACCCATTCTTCATGAAGCAAATCGACTTCCAAACCAAAAAAAGGACTAATTACTGAGATCACAACAGCTCTGCTTCATGGACCGATTTGAAAGGGAAGCCGCACTTGTGTTGGAGGAGGAGACGTCTCCCATGACAGTGGTGTATTATTTTTGTAAGGAATCACTGCTTCTCAGAGATTGGGAGACATTTTAATTGCCTACAACTCCGTCAAGAGGGAGTAAGGAGGTAAATTGATGACCACACACTCCAAAAAGGCACTTGATAACTGATCGTCAAATTGACAACTGATCAGCTCAAAAACGCATCTTTAAATGATGTTTACTGATTCAAGAATACCCATCATAGCAGCCACAAGGATGTGATTAGAATTAATTGCTTTCCACAGTCCGGTTGTGAATGAAAAGGGGAGGAAAGAAACGCCTTTTGCACATCGCCCATAATGACCAGTGGCAAAGTGAACACGTGACGAGACTGTCACCTAGCTTATACCTGACTGGACTGTTTTACTTTGAGCGGCTAAAAATTCTTCCATTAAGAGATGATCTCGCCAACTTCCCATACCAAATTGTCAGGAGAAAACCGCTCAAATGGCTTTGGAAAATGAAGAGTGCATCTGACATCCTTTTCATTGTCTTAATCCAATCATGTCATCCAACTTGACTTTGGAGGCAGGTAGGAGGTCAACAAAGAGTATATCGAGTTGTTCCACAAGCGTTTCGTGTTTCACACCTTCAATTGTAGAATCTAATATCAATCAGGATTACTTCATCATCGCCTTCAGCAACGGACTAAGTGTTCTATCAAGGGTAGACTATTAAAGAACGTCGATAAACAAAACATACTGAAATGGAATAGTGCTAAATTGCCTTCTAAAATACCATAAATACGTTTCTCCAGTCATCTTGGATGACTTATTGCAAGAGTAGAGTAGTCAATAGAACTATCCTCTTTTTTCTTTCAAGCACTTGCTAACCTAACTTTCCAAGTAACCCGAATTTGAGATGCCGCAATGGCAATGGCACCAGAGTGAGTGAGACACCCGACCGGATAGACTACACCGTCCCACTTCAGGCACAGTCAGCTTGTCTCGCCAGCAGCCCGCCACCTCCTCCTGCCTCTCTTAGAAGGGGACCTCAAACAAATGCACGCAGACATAAAAAAGCATTCAATGAAAATAGTTTGACTCCTTCAAGGACGTCTCAACAGCCCTACCGATTAGTCCTGTGAATGGCGACCTCCTATGTGCTGAACTGCATTGCATCTAAACGCCTGACACCAGCCCAGACATACATCTTCCCTTTTTGACATACAAAAGTAAGCACCTCAACGCTTTCACTTCACCAAGCCTGTCTGGGATTGAATTAAAAATAAAAATAAAAGAGTTCATAGGACGACTTCGGCGCAAAATCTTGGAAAATTGGTCTTACGAAGGTTGTAGTAATCAACATCCTACTTGCACATCATCGGACATTGCTGGATCACGCACAGTCAGCACAAATGCGCTTCCAGTAGCCACAGCAACAACGTCAGTACAACAGGGAGAAAAAATGCTGCAGACAGAGGAAAAGTGGGAAGTTTGTGCATCCACCATCGTACATACCAAATGGACTGAAAGAGCAAACAGTTGTGATGATGGACAGTTACTTGGTTTCAAATCAAGTTACAAGGATACCGCTTTCCCGCAATCCACAGGCACTTCAATGCGGTAGCTGAAAGAAATCACTCGCATACTTACAAAGAAGAAGGCTTAGCAAGTTGATGCAATTCAAATCGATAAGGACTGCTCCTCCTCCTCCTCCTTCCACCTCAAAATCACTTTTCCTTTAGCCCATTTACTAAGAGAAAAAGATGGGGCTACTCTTTGTACGAAGGGAAGGGTAGCTCAAACCCTAACACATCGGCAATCGGTGATGGAGATAAGAAGTAGTGCGTCACGTTTCGTTGCGACAGTCCTTCAGTTTCCCACAGAAAAAGACAAGGCGAAGAGGTTCATTGACTCACTCTCTGATACCTGTCTGGAGACCTGAGATCACATGTAAGAAGACAACCAAGTAGATGCGAAAGAAGGAAGGAGAGAGAACAAGTGAGAGAAAAGGAAGAAGAGCCACAAAATTGCTCATTGGTGGAGTAGAGCTGAAGGTCATTTCAACGCGTTTTTTTTCGCACCACAAAACGACAATGCTTGGATCACAAAAAGCCGTAACGAGGCACCTTATTAGAGAGGTAGGAGGGATTACAAAGGCTCGACTACAGATGAGTGGAGAAGCATCCAGTCATCATCCACCCAGCTTCAATCAGGGAAAGTGAACTGAAAAAAACGGAGGAGGAGTTTCTATTGCCAAAACTAAACATCCAAAAGGTTCAATCTCCTCCCTCTCAACGATAAATAAACATACTGCAAATTCCATTTTTGTTTTTCTTGAAGTGGAGAGGAGAAAGCCAAATTCTCGCAGCTTCCGTTCCTACGTCATTTGGTCTGCGCGAGAGGGCGCTCAATGCAAAAGGCAAGTGAAAGTAGTAGTCCTCACTAGAGGATGAAAAAAAACAGCCGCTTGAATGCAGCTGAAGCAACAGCATCCTCTACGTCATCAAGTGGAGGACAAGTTCTCCCATAAACGCCTAGTCCTGCCTATTGATAAAGGAGACAGTCTACTCATTCACGTTTGTCTATACTTCTCTAGTACATGAATAAGTGGAGACCAGCTAATCGCAAGCCCAATCTCTCTTAAAAAAATTAAACGATCAATCCCTGAAAAGCTTTTAACTGATAAGATGTGGAGAACAACTTAATGTGTTCCAACCAATAGAATTATGAGGTTCTTAATCGCAACTTCCTGATCCTGAAGCCAGATTAAATACATTTCCAGGCCATACATTTGGCCGACTCCATACTTCAGCTTTTTCCAAAGCCGATTTCACTTAAATTTGTGAAGCAGGTCAACCAGAGTGAAAGGCCAAAAGTTGTGGTCCTCAATGGTACCTTTTAAGAGATGAATGGAATAAAATCTGTGAGTATCAGATTTCAAAAAAAGGCATCATTAAAGGTCAGCTCCTACGCCTTCTACTGGTCAGATTCAAAACATGACTGAAGTGTGAGGTGTAGGAGCGTGACACCTCCCCAGCATCTGCATCGCTACAAGGAGTCTGAAATAACCAAGCCAATGTGAACTCTTGTGCCTCCCAAGCCTTTCCACAGCACACTTTTGACGGAAGGAGTATGTTCACTACAAGACTTAACCAAACCCTCAGCAGTGCCCTCCAAACACCTCGACGCCAATAACAACGGCAGGGACTTAAGCATTGCCAGCCTCAGAAAGTGGGGACATCATAACAGCGTCATCTATGAGCTTCTTGTAGAAACGAAAAACAATTTTTTTTATTAGAAATGCACTTGCAGTGATTTCACACGTACGAGCTCGCCACCACAAAATGCGAGGCAAGGCACATTACGAAGTAGGAAGTCAAAACGCGGGACAATGATTTCAATGCAGTTGCAATGTCTATTCCGATCTCACATACACACACGCACAAACAAACACTTCACTCCGCGCTATTCACAACCCGCTTGTCACCTCTTGGTTGGATCGTCAGCCTGCTCCTGGGAGATCCTGTCTGATCGATGCAGAGTCCACAAACATTAGATTTTCAAAATTTCTACTTTAAAGAGGGAAAAACACTTTGAGTAGTGGCAAAATAAAGTTTTTTTTGTTCTCGGGAGAAATCGACTGTCGACGAGTTGTTAGCAACATGTCAAAAGAAAAAACGTGGAGATAAAACGTTGGAAGAGGTTGTGGTATAGGCTATCTGGATCTTGGGGAAAGCGGACCACTCTCAGACCAGAAAAAACGAATTGAAAATTAAAGGGTAAAAAATGCACTCCAGTTATTCACTCATAAGCTCAACCAACCTGCCTGGAAAGGATTAAGCTGAACTGATTGAGAACGTCTGCTAGAGATATGTGACGCCGGTAGCTACAGCAGCAAACGACTTCGCTTCCGTCAGTTTTAGTTGGACAGACCTCTAAATAACGAAACAGGCCGCATGCACACACCAATGACAACTAAAGCTGGCATGAGATAAAAGTACTCTACGGCCATAAGTTTTATGAAGTAGGAAATGGGCGAATAAGCAAGGTAGACCAGTAAAATTATCACCATTCGTGTCAAGTCGAATAACAAAACAGAGGTGATGTGCGTATGCTAAGGGCAGGTTAAATCGCAGGACTAGCGAAAGCGGCCTCATAAAGTGCAGCCTTAACATCACACCCACGCACAGCATTGCGCTGAATGTGAAACCAACCCCGGTGACAGTAACACTAACTCAGAGCATAAGTGGGAAAAATTTATTTTAGAGCCTTAATTAATGCGTGAAACAACTTGAAAATTAAATATGAGCATGAAAGAGTTGTCAGACCCTCAGTCCCCTCCAAAGAGAATAGAGACCAAATCCTGACTGGCCCACTCACCACCTTGAACTTTATAGGCGTTAGGAGCTTTAAAAAGTAGAGCAGTTTATAAAAGCTGTGCTGCCAAAATGAGGCGCCAGGAACGAGGAATAAGCTGCAGCCTACCACAATCTAATTAACAGCCAAAAGAAAATAATGGTGCTCTAAATCTCAGATAAAGCAGTTCTCAAATAGGCCTACAAAGACGGCTACACATGGCCGACACAGCCACCCGTGTGGCCTTGCACGTGTACAACTTGTGGATACAGTATTGTCGATAAACACGTATACGCGGAGTGATACCAGGTGTCAGGGCACGAGGCTAAGAATAGGCCACTCGCATAAAGATATGTGAAAAGTCAATCTGACAATGATCCATGTACACAGACTGATACGAAATTAACAGGCCTATTTAGCACACACACAACGGTGCAACCGGTTGCCAGAACGTAATAAATAGCTCAATACTGGGTGAGTAAAATCGTAGCTTCACGTATGTGATAATAAAAACTTGTGTAACGATGGACTTCATGTGGAAATTAATAAACTTGGTTTTTTGCAACTCAGAAGGGCTTATTGATGTTGTGGTCAATAAGAAGAAAACAGCAACCAAGAATGCGATGGGATGGTACGAATTTCGATATTCATGTAAGTCACAGTGTAAGACTTGCTAAAAATGCACTAAAAGTACTTCAAACTACACGACATACGCTTTGAAGAGAAGTAAGATTTGTGTAGGTCCATAAAATGAACTAATAGCTTGTGTAAAACTACAGAAAGTGCCTATACCACCAAGGCATTACCTACCGACCTCCAAAAGTAGCCCTTAGGTCAGATGCAAATCTAAAATGCCAAATCAGCTTATTCATAAATGTATGCGGGTGACCTCATCAGTTGATCAGACGGCAAAACCCAATTAAAGCCTCAAAGAGTGTCTACAAATGCGAATGGCCTTTTAGAATGCAAAGTACAGGCATAAAACCTAAAAATCCTTTGCCTTAAAATGATGCATCCGAAAGATAGGAAATAGAAGTTGAAAAATCAGTGAGGAAAGCTGAGCGTACCATAGTAAGTCCGATTGCTTTGGTATTGATGATACTTTTGAGGTTTGCCTCTTCCTCCGGATCGATCAATCTCAACATGGCGAACATATTCAAAGGTATTGATGCTATTGCCCTTTGCACAGCACCCGCGACCTTTTGAAGGGTTGTTGCTGAATTGTGGTTGGGAGTTGTAATTAACATCCTGGTGGAGGCGCGATCTAAGACAACAACAATTTCAACATGTGATAAAAAAGACATAGTTCATAATTTGAGCACCGCTTACAGGCTTTTTGACAGATTGTATCCAATACCGGTACCACCACCACCAACACCTCGATATCGATAATTTTGCTTTTGCTAGTAGAAAAAACAAAATTGTAAAAAAAACATCTAAATGAAAGTAAAAAGCAAAAGCAATACGCGCCTTCCCCCTATAACTTATACCATCATGTGCACCGTTGCGATGGACCAAAGCGTCTTGCCGAGAAATTGTAATCTATGTAAAAAATGCAAATATCGAGAACGACTACCCGAATTTGAGAGGGAAGAATAGAGCTACCAGTCTCAACAGCACGCCTCTTATCCATTTCGATTTCCTGTAGAGGAGGAGTTATAAGGAGAATAGGTGAGACCTTATGCCGATTTTCCAAACGAGCATTGTTCTCTCGAATAGCAGCAATACGCTCGTTTAATTTTGTGTCTTGCCTGGTGGTCTTATTCGCCATTTTTTTCTGTTTTCATACATATATGCGTGTCAAATCCAACTAAGAACTCCCAAACCACAAAATACTACAGGCATCCAGACCAAGCCCAACGGCCTGTTAGAGCACCACAAATGCCCAGGGGCAACCTTTGAGTCTAGCGCACTATCACCTCAAGGTTAGAAATAGGCGTAGGAAGTAAGGATTCATTGAAGAAGAATTCCGAGAGGTTTTATAATATGGCTTGTTAAGTTGTTAAAATCCAGATTTTACATAACTTTAATTTTATTAGTGTAAAAAATAAGGCGGATTTTACCATACAAAAAGTTTCGCGAAATTTACTTGCCGTTATTGAGCGGAAGTAGATTACTCAAATAGAATATATCTTCGACCAAAGGCTAGAAAATCATCAATTCTGGCGTGGTTGTTTTAGCAACCGGTATCAAAAGCACACTCTCTGTAGCACCAGCGTAGCACCCTTTTAACCAATTTCTTCACATTTCTTCCTCAGCCTTCTTAAAATAACAACAGTTTGACGATGGGGTACAATGCATTGCTATGTAGATAAAATCAAAAGCGGTGGAAGAGACACTTAGGGTCTCCAAGCTTTTTTTTTGTCCAACATATGCCAGTCTGTTTAAGTTTGCGGTGCACGAGGAACGTGAAGCTCCGGTCTCCGGATGATATGGGCTAACCAGCTCGTCAATACTCGCCGTTTCCTTTTTCCCATACAATGCCTGTAGCGTCCCGAGCCTTCCTATAGGGTGGAAGAAGGCGGTAATTGAGGCCAAATATGTGTATTCAAAGGGGACGTAACAAATTGGCCTGAGCATGGTCCGTACACTAGCCCACACGTACAAGTACCAGACAAATCTTAAAGTGACCGTCAAATGTCATGCGGTCACATAAACAAAGAACTACTTTGCTCCTCTCTTCTTTTGAGCGACGTCCTTGGTGCTCCCCTTTGATACACCTCCTACGCCAGCCATCACAACATATTCAGTACTGCAAGAAAGCACCCATGAGTCAACTGCGCAAGTCGACAGACAGCACGACACCGAGGCAGGTCCAACTGGATCTGGAGTTACGTTCGGCCTGACAATCCGATTCGGGTCTGGACTATCTGTTGACCATCAATTGCTGCCAGGACTAGATGATGGAACTCTGGTCTAAAACAGATGTGTTACAGGTAAAAAGGGATGGGTGACTGTCTTGTATATAAGGAGAGCCGTAGTGCAATTCCCAACATCTATACGGGGATTTTGTAGGAGAAATTCCAACACGAAAATTTCCAGATGGTTTACGGCGGTGTCGCTCCAGTTGTTAAAAGCTTGTCTGTGGAACACGGGAACAAGGTGAAGCCAAGTGCAGACGTCGGTCTCGACCCTTTTGTTGTAAGGTATTCAGAGCTTCTCCGCCACCGATGCAAATGCGCTTTTTCCACACCGTAGGTACATGTAATAAACGGTACTTGCTAGGATAGAAGTCGTTCAAAAAGTCGGGTTCGCTTTCCTCTGCCACCAGTGTGGCGTCCCGAGACTTCCCACCGGGTGGAAGAAGGTAGTAAGTGAAGCCGGATACATGTATTCAAAGAGGACAGAGCAAATTGGCCTGAGCATGGCCTGAAGACCAGCCCACACGTACAAGAACTAAACCAATCTTAAAGTGACCGCCAAACGCCAGGTGATCACATAAGCAAAGCATTACAATGCCAAATAAGCCTCCGCAACTAAATCTCCCCTGAATTTTCGAAGTTCAAGGGCATGGAGGCAGGCAGGCAGGCTATACATTGCGAATTATCCGCGCACTTCTCCTCTACGGTGTTCGAATTGATTTTGCGTCCTTTTCCTACGAAACACAATTTAATCAACCCATATTTGCTGCGGAGCCTACTTCTCTATCAAGCACCGTCCATCCATTCACCATCGATGAATGCTTTATGGTCGACGGGGATCTTCTTTTCCTCTGCAAGTATGCGAACCCGTCTCGTAGGCAATTGGGGTTTTGCTGGTGTAAAAGCGAAGATTGTTATAATGGACTACCATTAGTGGGGAACGGAGTTCGGCTTTTCGAACCAGCCCGTGGGTGAGAGAATAGTGGCTATGTGGTAGAGAACTTGGTTCTGGGTGTGGTATAAATTCCGGTGCTATTCTGATGGATGGCGAGACTTATATAGCTGGAGCGAATCTCCATCCTTGTACAGACTGGATCTGGCCGAGCATGCGTGTAGCGCCCAAGGGCTTCCCACTAGGTAGAAGAGGGCATTATATTAAGCTGAGTACTTACATTCAACAGGAGAAGAAGAAGTGGGCTTTGGATTGTCCCAAAGGCTGGTCCACATGCACAAGGGTAAATAGAATATCAAAGTAACCGTCAGACAATATTGGGTAATGACAGCCAAAGTATCGCGTTGTAATCCTAATAGCTGATTTCGGTCTCTATTAAACAATTTTCAAATTTCTTCATAAGTCTCATAACATATTCATGTCAAATACCTGCCATCTTCTTACTGAGCAAGGCGGAGTTGGAGGGGATCCTCATTTTGCAGCCTGTGAGCATTTTACAAGGACCGAGTTGTTGCTTGGTGCGCGAGGAGAACTCGTCTCAGGCATAAATCCCATTCTTTGGGTGGGACACCTTCAGTAAAGGCCTTCAGAGGTTCCACAAGTTTGCGATTATCCTTTTTACTTTTATATTTCGCGGCGGATATCTAAATTATATTCGCATTTTACGATTTCTAAAGGTTTTGCACAGTTCTGCAAAAAGTTTGCTTTCAAAATTAGAGCCTTGATCGGTATGGGCCGATTCAGGTACACCGTGTCGGCAGATCCAGCGGTTGAAGAACGCTGTTACTGCTGTCTCAGTACCCTGTGCTTACAAACATTCTGACTCTGCCTCTTTAGTTGAGGTAGTCGACCATTATCAAAAAATAACGATATCTCCTCTTGGTCGTAGAAGGCGGGCCGATGATTTTCATACCTACCATCTCTCCTGATGATCCTGAAGGCATAGATTGTTGATTGTGGATGGAAGCGGATGCATATGGCACACATTCGTAAAAATCTGAGACATTGTAGACAAGAAGGGACCACCAATATCTCTTCTTCATCGTCTCCACCACTTTCTTTGACTCATTTGCCCATCTAACTCCATTATAACTGGCTGTGTTTGTGCGCCGGGGGCAAGTGGACGTTTGGAGTTTGTCGAAGCTTCCTCGTAGCAAAGGAGGTCCTCCTCAATGTAGGTTTTTCTCCAAGTTCTGTCATATTTGTTTGTCTGCCTTGCTGACCCGTTCATTTCCATGGCTGTGGGTTTGACCTAGGCTGTCCATAGCCTCTCACATACAGGAGGCGTGTCAGAATCAGCGCTTAGTACCAACATGTCGACTTTAGTGTCATCTGTGGACTCGGAGCAAGATCTTCGTGGCAGAGCATCTGCCATGACGATAATAAGAGCTTCTCGTTCTTTATTGCGCCATGAATTATCTGCCCATAAGAGAGTGTGTGAGTTTCCTGACCACAGTAATGATAGAGATGCATTCTTCTGTTTCATCACTTTGCTTAGACGCGAGCTGACGTAAGCAATGACACGTTCTCTTCTAACTCTGTTTTGCGTCAGTGTTCAGCGCAATCGGTGGAGCATTGGCGTCAACGTTGCGTAGAGCGAGAAATAATGCCATGCAGGGGGCTCGGTTCGGTTCCTTAAACGTCTCTGTGTGTGCATTCTCATATCAAAATTCATTTTTTCACCTGTTTTTTCGTAAACTTGTGTAGTGATTCTGCAATCTTGATGAAACACTTAACAAACCGCCGGTAGTACTTTGCAAAACCAAGAGAGCTGCAGAGTTCGGTTCCATTAGTTGGGGTCGGCTACCTCCTTACTAGCTTTGTTTGGACCCCTGGAACTGCAATTCCGTTATCTGAGGAAGTGATCGAGTTCCAAAGAAAAGAGCACTTCTTTTAATTTTAATGTCAGCCCGACCTCTCAAATGCAATCTAACGCCAGTCGGAGATTGGTATTGTGTTGCTTGACATTTCTAGCGAAAATGATGATGTCGTCCATGGGGATGGTGCAAGGCTTAGTAAAGCTTGTATGAGACGCTGGACCGTAGCTACTACACTGAAGATTCCAAACGGCATTGTTTCGCGTTATGATAACAGCGTGTTATGTGCATACCGCAAAGATACCGTTGAGCCTGAGTGATGCTTAATATGACTAAGTTTCGAAATGTAACCTTGTGGGAGAAAATAACACGAAGCTCGTATTCGAGGATTTGGTTAATCCCTATTCGCTGATGCCGCCCATACTGCGATACCATTTTCGCTCCACTTTTGCTTTAGTCAACAAAATCTCATAGCAGTGACTCCCTTTTTGAGAAATGATAGAGAGAGAAAATTGAAAGGTCAGAACTTCAGAACCCTTCCCAAAATTTTGGGACAGATTCGTGTAGTCTCGATGTACTAGTATCTTGATAGTATTTGAGAAGAGGTAGGCACCTTTTATAACAATATAGTAAATCCGCATTCAAATCGCCTTCAAAATGCCTACAAACTACAATCGCAAATCTACAATTCAAAGCCACCACTTTTCCGTCAGTAACATTCACCAAGGACACAAGTGCCAGCACATGACATATCTTGCAACCACTGTTTAAATTCCCACCATATTATAGGACTTCTGTAGCCTTTTTGGAGTGGTACTAAACACGTCTACCGAACCAATGACTTTAAGACCTACGTCACCTCCTCACTTACTCCGTCCCTACTTAAAAAGAAATCAGTAGCATACCAGCAGTGTGGGCATTCCGACGAATTATAAGGAACAACTTTGACCGAGAGGGAAGACCCGGTGAGAGCATAAATTCTGCAACTAGTGAGTATTCCCAAATAAAATCTAGCACAAATTTAACATTTGGAACAAATCTGGCCGCAAATTCAAGATCCGCAGAAACTACCAAACCATCCTCTTCCGCTTTCGAGGAGAAAATCGACGATTCGACAAGTATAGAGTTCGGTTAAATATTAAAAAGTCGGGACACCAACTCGCACACACGCACACACATTTGTACAGAAAAGGAAGACGAAAATCACAGGGATTACAAAAGCGTCACGGAAAGAATGGCTAAAAGTCGTCAAACCGAGGTGGTAGACCCTCTCTCCACCTCCGTAACTTCATAACTACCACGTCCAGAGATCACATTCGCAGTGCTGGTTACTGAAAAGGATAAGAGAAAGAAAAAAATGAATGAAATTGTGGGTCGAGAGGATGAATCCAAAAGAGAGCGGGAAATAGCACCCACACAGAGCCGTCAGCTCCTGTACCGAAACAGCCATCTTCCCACACCGACGGCGGCATGAACAGCTGCAAGCTGAGGTAGTCGTTGTGACCACAGCGGGAGGAGATGGTTCGGCCGCCTTTCCTCTGCCATTGCTCCCATGAGAAGCTGACAGAGTGGTGGGTGATGCAGCCGCAGTGTGCTGCAAGAGATGGAGTGCCTGAGTAAGCGTTTCCACTACATAAGAGACCAGTGTGTTCGTCTGGAAAAGAAAAGTAGTTGGGAGAGATCCACCAAACGCCTACAAGTAAATAGAACGAAGGAGGTGATGCAAACTGGGATAAACTCACTGGATGTCGATTGAGCAGTGCGTTGAAATGATTCAGACTGTGATGAATTAGTTTGCGCGCTCTCGCATGATCCCTCAATGTACATTCGCCTAGACAAAGTAGGAAGAAAAGTCAGCAAACGAGTGGAACAATTCAGTCAGTCAGCTAGAACTCCACCAAATTTCAGAACAACCCCTTTCGGAAGATCGCCACGACCACCTTGATCTCATTACAAGACCTACAGGCTCACAGACTCCAACGACAATGATTCCAAGGGCAAGCCGAAGAGCACTCTTCAGCAGCTTGTAAAAGGCAATGATTATGCTTGATTGTATTTTCATGACCTTCTCCCTAGTACTTCGACGGTTTATTTGTGAAAGGAAATCAATAGACAGGCCTACACAGGCTGGAGACCGACGAGAGCAAGCTAGACTTGAGTTAAGTCAAGAATGAGCTGATATGTTACCTTCCTTCCCCTCCTCCTGAGGACCAGGAATAAAAGGGACACAGTTTCAACTATTCTATACAACAGATCTAAAATACACCAATGGAAAACCTACCAGCAGTGTTCGACGCCTGGACAGAGGTAAGTAGACTCTCCAGCTGTTGCATCAGCGAAGCGAAGAGGCTTGTCAATTGACCCGCACACCGACTGAGGTAGTCCTGCAAATCCGCAATCGCCTGTCAAGCCAACGGAGAGTAACTGAGGCACAAGTTTAAAGCTGCAGCAGGAGAAAGCGTGTACAATCAACTCACGGCGAAGGGCTGAGTCGGATCAGGAAAGGAAACAGAGAGGGAACTGGGCGTTGTAGTGGAGGGAAGGGTTAGTTCATCCATCAGGGAGATGCTGGTATCCACACTAGTTATCACTTGTTGACTTGTCTCTCCCACCTGCCCTTCCGCTGCTATAGAAGTTATGTGTTGTGACTCCAAACGAGTGGAGAGTTCGCGCACCGTTGCTTCGATATTAGCCACCAACGAACTCATCCCATCGACGCTGAAAGACAGAAGTGATGAGTAGGACGCTTAGAGACAGTACAGACAACTGTAACCACTAAAACGTACCACTGGGGTAGGGAGTAGGCCTTCGAAGGAGAAACAGGTGAAGTACTAGCAGCAGTACCGACGACAGCAGGAACAGAGACAACAGGAGCATAGCGTCTCCCACGAAATAAAGTTACACCCCTTCTACCGTCATCAGCATCACCTTCATCTGCGCTTCCATTCATTGGGCAAGAAGAAACAGCGATGTCTTCCGCAGGATGCAGTTGGAACTGCGGACTCTGACTGACATTCACACCTCGACGATCCTCTAGTGGAGAGGCGTCGTCTCCTCTTGTAGCACTTGTTCCAGCGTTGGCCTCGTTGTCCTCTTTCCCTCCCCTGCTTCCAAGAACCGTTGCAGCAGAATTGGGAAGGCTTGGCATAGAATGAAGAGGAAAGAGTAGTAAAGGCGGATGAGCCTTGAAGCGATGCGAGGATGAATGCAACCACAGAGAATAGAAATACAAGTGAGACGGAGTGCCAAATACAGGATAGTATGTGCGAACTTGAAATATCAGGCAAATAAAGAAAAAACTCACGATGGTTCAGCACCCCCACCCGCAGCGGAGGAACCGTTGGAATGGCAGGAAAGAGCCAATTTCTCCAACTTCTTAATCAGTGCATTCTTCACCAAAATCTGCTGCCTTAGCCTTTCCAACTCTTCCAAGAATCCCTTCGCACGCCTCTCATCATCCATCACAATCCTCTTCAACCGTTTCGTTTCTTTCGTTGAGGCCTCCAGCAATTCTGCCCTCTTTGCCAACCTTGCTTTCAAATCGAATGCAATGGCCTTGAGCTCAGGGTACTTGCGAGCCTTCTCTCGCATAATCTCGTCCATCTCTCCACTATCATCGTCAGCTACAGTAGTGGTGTTTGTGGCAACTGCAGCTGTAATCTTCTCCGCATCCATTAGTTGACGCCTGAGAGTATCCAGTTCCACCTGTGTCTCCGCAGCAGTCATGCGAACTGACTCAAGGTCGGCCTCGAGACTGACGATACGAACATCCTTGGTGTCTATCTCCACCATCAACTCCTCCTGATGGACCAGAAGGTGCTGGCACTGATCTTCGGCTACAGTGGAAGCAAAGGAGAGTTCAATGGGAATTACTCCACAATCCGGAGGTTTCAGCTTCCTAACAGTACTACCAACTGCGGTACTAACGAACCAATGAGGTTGGAAGAACAGCACAGAATCAAAATCCCTCACTACGACAGCAAATAACGCATGAGAATCCACTTTACCACTAGCAAGCTTCGATTCGGCCACCTCAAGGAGAGTAGAGTACTTCTGCACCACTGCCTTCATCGCCACTTCATGCGCCTGGAATAGGGAAAATGTAAACAAAAATACTAAGCAAAAGGGAATTTCCAGCGACTTTTAGCTCAGGGAGCGGTACTCACCTTGGCCTCCTCACTCAACTGAGCCTCTGAGGCGGTGAGCTTAGTTTGAAGATCTAAAAGGTTGTCTAACGACTCTTCCAACCTAGCCGATAGACTGGACGCGCGCTCCGTGTTCTCAGCTAATGAGACCTACAAGTGAGAAAAAATTTGGGGTTATAAAGTGCTAGTCAATTGAACAAAGTTTGACACGTAACAGATGAACAGTTACCATAATGAAGAGGTGGGCAGAACGATGAGGAAGAAGAACGTAGAGCACTGCATACCTGCAATTCAGCCACTCTTTTCTCCAACTCCGCTACACTGGCCTGTGCCCGGTTAAGGCTCTGCTGCACTTTCGCAAACTCCTCCTCCCTAGCCGCCGAGGTAGCCTGAATGGCGGCAATGGAGTCAGCATGCTTACGGTAGGCTGTCTCCAGCTCCTCCGACACCTGTACGTACGTGGCCTGAAGTGCGGTGTTAGCTGACATGAGTTGCTCGCAGCGTTCCTCGTACTTAGCCAGAGCCGCTTCATGATCCTCCAATGGCACGCTCGGTGCCGTTGGAGGCGTCTGAGCCTCTGCCATAGCTGTCGTTGACTTTGGCTGCTATCGGACAGAAAACATATGGGTGAATTGTGCACGTTACTAGTTGAACCGTCTGCAATCGCCCACAAATTTAGACCACTATGGTGTTACAGTTGAAACAAATTTAAGGCTTTACCAATAGAGAAAGGTGTCAAATGACCACTCCCACATAGCAATAGCGACGTCAACACTGATTTGCAATAGACCTTTAGGAGAACAGTGTTGGTTAATGGTCTGAAAAGCACGTTTTCAAGCTCTAGACAATGGCAGGACATGCGATCTCATACTAATTGGTTCACTAGAACTTGGCCCGAAGCTATTCAGCATCCAAAGAATAAACAACAAATGAGAAGTGTAAACCACCTTACCTCGTGACGAAGAGCAGAAACGTCAGTCGACACAGCCTCCAGATGTGCGAAGCCCTCGTTAAATTGGTGCTCGAGCAGCTCCAGCTGGGTTTCACTAAAGGGAGGCGAAAATGAGAACTACGGAGAAAAAGTCAATTACCAATTGGCCATCAGCCACCCCAACGATGGAAGTGGGTAGATAAAACAATGCCATTAGAGTTCCACAACGATCTAACATCAAAGAAATGGACCCATCCAATTTCTCCAACAGAAGGCCCGAAGTAAGCAAAATGCCTTGGCAAAAGTATCTTACAACGGTATGCATAAATTCCACTACGTTCATCGATGTCAATTCTATTCCAATCTAGAATATTGATTGCCCTACCGAAGGACATCAAAAACTAACATTAGCAACATTGATCTAGGAAAAATAAAGAATGCAAAACAGTACATCCCATAATCGCGTTGCGAAATTCGCCCACCTGAGCGGCTCATCTTCACCAGAATAAAACTGTTTGGCAAAGTTGACTTCTACTTCGGCCTTAGAACTGAGCTAAGCTCTGCTAGCATGCAAGGTCAAGCTACATCGCTTTTGACAGCAGGGCGTCGCATTGGTGCGCAAATGATGAGAAAAGGCCATTACCTTTGAATTATTCAAACCCATTTAATGCATTCGATATTGGCGAACGATGACCTCCGCATCATTGACTAACTGTATCCGCTAAGTGCATACAGCAACCGCAATGTAAAACAAGAATGATTATCACTCAAAAAATTTGTTCATTCGATAAATGGTGAGTTCGGATAACTAATCTCATGGTGAGGGGCTGCATTAAGTCTCACATTTCCTTTGCCTTGTCGCTACCTCATTGCGTATGCAAATGCCAGTGGTGGAGCAGCCATGTCACCATAATATAGGGCAAATGGTATTGGAAGAAAGGAAACGACTAAACCAAAAGACTACTACATTCGGTCACAAAGCTCGAATTTTGCTTGATTAATATCTGAAACGACAGTAAAAAACTTACATTTCAGACAGAGAAAGGGTGGCAAACTCGCCTCGCTTTCCTTTCTGTAAAGCATCAATAAGAAGTGAGAACCACTTGAGCGCCAGGTCTCGCCACTCCAGGAGCCCACTCGGTTCCAACGCCTCCAGTGTGTGGGATCGCAATACCACGCTAGCAAACCGTGTCACCAGCTCAACAACCTCGGCAATAGGCACTGAGGAGGCTGCAGTGGAAGACCTATCAACTGCAGCATCCTCATCTTCAGGTGAATTAAGAGCCATAAGCACTTCAGTGGCAGCCTTAACCGACCACTCATCAATGGCTTCTTGGATCCGTGCCACCTTAAACGGAAAGAGTTCATAGTAGAAGCGAATTGATGAATGGGATATGACGTCTCGATGAAGACAGTGATAGGAACGTACAGCAAGAGAGACGCGATCAAAGACGCGCCGGTTATGCGCCTCCATGCAAGAGATGTCCCCAGCACGACCGCTCAGCGCAATACTGAGGCAGGAAGAGATTGAGTTGTCGGGGAGATCGTCGGTGATCTCTGTTTGGCGGTCGTGATAATGATGAGGCAACAAGAGGTTCAAGGTAGTATTCTCGTGTTGACTCAATGGTGGGACTTCAGTCACCCCCTTTCTCGCTTCATCCTCCTTATCTAAAGCAATAGAGATTCCGATAAACTGGATATGGGCCATCTGGATAGGTTACAATTATTCACAGCAAGTCAACCAAAAATGAACCGATGAGAATTACTACATAATTGACGCCAAGATCATTTGCGGAAATCACGGCATCAGATATACGCAACGTCGGTAATGATTAAACACTCACCGTAATTCCTGGTAGGCGGCAAAATCGCGGAGACCTCAGCTTCACCCACGGCACAAAAGAATGATGGTGGAATGGACCGATTTTGTGATTCCTCTTGCACCAGAGAGGACGCAACCTTTTGAGTACCCGCTTCCATGCATAGACTCGTTACCATGAGACTGCGATTCACAGTCTCGTGGAAGGACCGCTGAATGAACCTCATGTTGTCGAATTGGTTAATGAGGCTTCTGATGAGGGAGTGTAGACTCTTCAGCCGCTCCAATGACTGCGATGACGCAGTTCCCGCTGCGATCGCAGCGGCTGTGTCATCCAGAGCCTCCGCAGTTGCCTTGTCGTTCTCCGACTGAGAAAATGATGTAGACTGTGATACCTGACTCGACGACAGTACCAAGAGCTCAGAAGGGGAAGAGCATGATTTGACAAAGCTAAATAAACAAATAAACGCACCTCCACAGCTGATATCTCTGCCTCAAGTCTGTTGAGAGTAGCCTGCAACTCGGAAACTGTCTTGTTCAACACTAGAGAAGCTTTGTTGTTACTGGTGTTAAAAAGACCTCTGTCCAGTCCTAGGCCGGATTCTTCACCGCCAGCACCCACTGTGAAGCTGAGCCGCGAGAGGTTGGCAACACTTTCGTCTGTTAGTGCAAAAAAACGACCGAAAATGACTTCCTTTAAAAGCACAGCCAAATGTTAGTTTTTTTTAAACTGCATGAAGATGAAGACAATACAAGTTCCGGGCTTCCAATAACGTCATTACATACAGGCAAACAAATTGTCGCCTGAATAGAACCTAAGACTTCTAATGCTCGGACCTAGTAATAGTAGGGCCAGTTTTGAGTAGATAGATCAAACACTCAAGTTTAACTGTAGAATCTCGCATATCGCCAAAGACCAAATCAGAAGAGCCCACTTATTTAAAAGAAAAAGTACAGTGACTTTTGGGGCAAACATATTTCCTTAATATACGTTTAGTTCATATATTACAAATTTTTTTGTAAAAAAAGCTTTACAAAATTAGCTTCACCTGCCAAATAAGTGCAACTTGATTAGGTAGCCACCGAGCTTTAATACACCTTGAAACCGTAGCAGACTTGTCAGTTATATCCCGATCAAATTTGAAGTCTAAGTACTTTCCCATAGATTACGCGATAAATGAACATTAGAAAGATGCGCAAGAGGAAGAAGTCCGGATGAGCAATAGGAACCTACCTGGAATAGAGGGATTGATCGACAGCGAGAGGTCGACTGGGGCTTTGACCATGCTATGTGAGAGTGCATTGTAAGCCGTCTTCAGCCGCGTATTTGCCTTAACTTGAGCCACCAACCTACCCCTCAGTAAGGCTAAGTCGCGTTTTAATTTTGCTAAGTCACCGGGTTGGTTGTCAACCACCTGCTGGTCTGGAGTTGCATCAAATATGGCCGAAGAGTCATCGTGACGGAGCTGCGTCACCTCATCAAGAGACGCCATGGCCTCCGGAGCAGCTAAACACTGAGACGGAGGATCCCCAGTGTCGTGTTGGTTGCCACTCACAAGAGTAGATAACTCGTATATAGTACGTTCGCGGTCCTGCAGCATCTGTAAACTAGCTAGATAGTTAGGCGTTCTTATAATTGTCACAAATTGAAAAATAACAAACCCTATCCAATGTCTCAAGCTGGCGAAGATGCTCTTGTTTGATTCGCTCATCATGCTCCTTTAACTGCGTCAACTGAGACGAAAGCATGTCGTTCAAATTGGCTTGGCAATTTCGATCACTCACAAGATCGCTGATACGGCTATGCAGAGCCTGCTCAATCTCATTTCGCTCTGCCAAACACCTTGCATGAGAGGCTTTCTCGGCGTCCAACTGATCTATCACCAATTGAAGTTTCGACTCCGAAGCGGAAAGGAGCTGCTTGCAGGTAGTCAATTCCTCAGTTAAGGCTTCGCATTCATACCTCAGGTTCTTGACTGTGTCTTGGGAAGTGTAGTAGCGTCGGAGGAGACTAAGTTCAGCAACTTTGTTGGGTGATGGTAGTGGTTCGAGAGCAGTAGATGAGACGTTCTCTTTGTCCTCCATATCTGAGAGATGGGGGGTTTGAATCTTACCAGGCTGAGAAGTCAAGGTATCTGGAGAGCATGCTTTTAGTTCTGCCTCCAGCATAGCTATTTTTGTTTCAGCGTTGAAGAGCTGCTGTTGGAGAGCTGATATTTCCCTAGGGGGAAGACAAATCCTTACATACAAGAAATGAAGGGCAATTATGAAATCAAATAAAGCGCAAACCTACGCCTTCTTTGTGGTTTCAAGTCTAGAAGACTCAGTTTCAATTAGTTCACACCTGCTTTCAGCTCTTCGCTGACACGACTTCAGTTCTTGAAACTCCAGACTTAACAAATCATATTTTTTTCTCCACTCTGTAGAAGTCGCTACAACTCAAGCAATAACCGGCTTACCGTCCTCAGATGATTCGAATTTCTCTGTCCATTTGTTGAGATCCCCACGCAGTTGATCGTTCTCATTTTTCATAGAAGTCAACATTTTCCTAGTGATTGGGCAAAATGAAGAGGGCTCTTACGAAGCGCTATCTAGCAGGCGAGCCTTTGTATTCAACTGGTCTACTAACTGAGAATTCATATTCTCGAGTTCAGCAATGCGCTATTTATGATAATGTAGCTTAGAGAACAAAGCCATACCATTGCTGGATCATCAGTTAGGCCCTTCTGATATATTTGCCCATACTTGTAACACAAAAGACTTAGCTTAAAATTCTCTCGCCTTAGTTTGGCGATTTCCTAAAACATCTTTAAGAGTCACAAACACTACCTCCGATTCGTCTGGAACTGTTCGGATGCCCTCTAGTGGTGAACCAATCAGTTTGGAAGGCGTATTCTTGCACATAAATGAAACACTTAAGATAAAGAACAAAAATTGGTCCATTACTTCTCGTCAATAGTCGAAGAAGATTGAAATGCGCCTTGATCACCTGAAGCCATCACACCGTCAAACGTAACACAGAACTGAGAACGAGTTCGTTCAATACTGATTTTCAATTTATTTGGCCAATTAGCTCCGAGTATTCAAACAAAACATTGGAAAAGATAAACTCAAGAAACTTTCGAAATCTTTGCCTAACGACTATCTACTTATCCAAAACGCTTAAATCCATATGACAACATTTAGAAATAGCGATAACTAGCAGCTGGAAATAAAACTAAGTTGATTACTTATTAAGTGCAGAAGCAACACCGCTCGCCTCAAACATGCCGCAAAGTGCATTCATCCGTTTATCGCTATGCAAAAACCAACCAAAATAAGTATCACCTGTAAGGTTTAGGTATTCAAAAGTACAAATATACGACAGCATTTTTGATGTTTATGATTCGAAAAAGTGCTAGCAAAACTATGCACCTACATATTCAAGGGTTGTATGAGGAAACTTCTCATTAGGCAATTGAAGGTACAAAATATGGCTAGTTACATGTATTAAGAAAAATGTGAATTCCTGTGCTCTTTTCGAATTCCTACTCGAATGAAATGAGGTCAGTCATTGACTTCTCCATTTTTCGCAAAAGCTTCTTTTATATTTTGTCTGATTATAGGTAATCGGACAAAAATCTCGCCTGCTGTTAATTACTGGAAAGTCTGAGGTAGCTGCAAAGGTAATGCGCCTATCAGTAATGCATAAAATCCAGCGTACACAACAGAAGCAATTCTGGTCCCAAAGCAACGTTCGCTCATACTAGTAGTTGAATAGTAGAATTTTAGCTTATCATGAGGGCTGGCCCACGCAAATAATGGCAAAATTTTACCATTGTGACCGCCACTTGTACAGGTGGTCGAATAAACAAGGCATTACAATGCTTCTCTCTTCCGTCGAGGGACGTAAATGGTGCTTTCCTCGCTACACCCCACGCCACCCAATCACCACATATCCGGTACTGTTTGGAAGCGCCGACGAGGCGACCACATCAGTAGTAGTTAGCTGCCATAAGACTGGGGGAATGTGCTTAGCCTACTTGTTAGCTTCATATTTACCTGCAGTCACGTTCGCCATCAAAACAGCAATCGTGGTTGGTATTCATGTTGAACATCAATTGTGGTTGCGTGAGAGACTTTGGAATACCGGTGTGAAACACATTCATAAGAGGAAAGCCTCGATTCGCCAGTCATGTATGCAATCGAGTTCAGCGCAGTATCGCCGTCGACAGTAGTGCGCGAATGCGATGAGGCGAATTCTCTTCTGATGGTTTGCGGACGTGTTGATTCAGCTGTTACTAGCTTACCTGTGCAAGTCGGTGTTATGGTTAATGCCAAACGTAATTACCTTCCTCAACCCTTTTGGTGTGAGGAAGTTGAAGATTGTCCTCCCTTCCTCCTTCCTACCTCCCCTAGAAGTATGTGCTCTTTATCCGCGTCGCAGTAGTTTGTTCTATGCAATAAAATCCAGGATGGGTGTCGCAACATATCCAAATTTGCCTTTCACTTCACCAGTGTGACTTCCGACAACTTTTCACTTGGTAGAAGAAGGCAGTGGGAAGGTTTGAATACTTGCATCCAGAAATCGTTGGCTGAACTTAGAAGCCGGTTACTCAAGCACAAGCATCATGAATACCAAAGTGATCATCTGCCGTGCAGTTGGTCGAATTGATGGGAGGGAAAGAGGTTGAGGTCTTAGCATTTGCCGACTACTATGATTGCAAAAGACTTCATTACCGATATCGACGATCAAGGAGACTTTTTTGTAGGTTTTATGGTCTTATTTTTTAAAAAAGAAATGGTGTTGCTTACTTCTTGAGAATAATATGTGAGGCAACTTTATTAATCTTGCCTTACATGAATGGGTGAGCTAAGTCTGGAGATACACCCTATCTACGGAGCAGGCGTGGTTGTCGCTTGATTTTCCGACAACAACTACCGCCCTTACAGGAAGCCATAAGTGGTGCACACTAGTAAGGCACGTCCTGCCTTCATATGCATTTTTGATCGTTTAAATAAACAATTTAGAAAGAACAAGGTCGAAATAAACATCGTCTATTTCGTGGAGCCTTGTAAGGCACGGGGAATAGGCGATGGTCCTCAAATTTGGGCCCGCATCGCCAAGTCCTCACCGAACTAAACTGGCTGATTATTAGCATAAGAATGCGAAGCTACTCGTTGTTGTCATCGAAATTATGCAGGGGAGCGCTTGAGCAATAACGTGTTCAGACATTTCTAGCGGCCCTCGGTCAGCTTCGCTGCACAGTTGTTTCGTTTGCAAGGTTCTTGTCGTCATCTGAAGTGAAGCCGCCCTTTCATTTACAATATGAAGAGAGAGGGAGATGGATGTATTTCAATTAAAGTGGTGCAACGTTCCATTTGGACTCGCTAAGATGGCAAAATCGGCTCACATAAGCTATTTGTCACATCCTTTCCTCCACGTGTTCCACACCAAAAATGTTAAGCCTCTTTAGAGAGAGAGGTTGAGAAGTGGAGATAAATGCTGTAGGTACGACAACTCAATGCCACACCTATGCGCACAAATCAATCCACACAAGTTCTCCAAATTACCGCTAAATGAGAACATTCGCCACCGCACCACTCATTTCACAGAAGAGTGGGTGATTGAGGCACCCCTGTCAGTCAATAATCCTCACAAACACACACAAAGGCATTTTTCTGTTTGACAGAAAACAGAATGGATGAGTTTCTAGGATCGTGGAAATTGGAGTCGAATGATGGCTTGAATGAACTACTACTTCGTTTGGGAGCAGGCTACATCAGTCGGAAGACGTTGAACGCCTCCAAACCTCTGCTAACCTTCAGTCGTGAACTCGCGCCCGGAGATTCTCGAGAGGGCGAGTGGTTCTCGCTCAAAACGACCTCCACACTCAAATCCTCCACCTGCGTTTTCCGCATCGGTTATACGTTTGATGAGACTACTATGGACGGACGAAGTGTGCGCTCCGTGTTCATCGTGGACGGACAGACACTAAAACAGGAACAGGCAGGAACAAAGACCACGTACATTACATATACAAGGGAGGGAGACATGCTGAAGACGGTGAGTTAGTCCCACCAATTATTTATGAGCTAGAACAATTGTTCTAGCAAGAGCAAACCTCTCACCAAAATCGTAGACCAACCCTTATCGAGATAATCGCATTTCAACATCAACTGCTCTTCGCGCCCTCGCCGTGATGCTCACTTAACTGTACCAGGGAGTAGTTCTGCCCAAATTTGTACGAAGCCAAAAATGTAGCAAATTGTTTCAGTCTGCACTTTGCAATTTCTAGTCCTCCACCGACAAGGTGGAAGTGTGAGAACAAGATAAACTCCTTCTCAGTGTTAATAACACCTCATCTACTCGATAGGCAACTGTGCAATGCCAAACGTCCGTAATCGCAGCATGAAGAAGGGATATGTGAAAGTTGTGCCTAAAAAGGCTTTTAAATGATTGCTCATTCTTTGATACTCTCTTCCCAATGAGTAGCCAGCCGGTCAGCTAATCGCTCAACACCTTTTGGAGCACATGTGAAAAAAATTAAAGGACTTCGACAGATATAAAACACTACAATTAAGAATAAGTTAATAATAATCAGTTGCAAAAGTTGCTTCACATGACCGAGATTAAAACCTTCAGTGTAACCCTCATATTTGTGCGAAGAAGGGCGTCGAAGCAGCCCTGCGAGGGGCCCAGAGGCCATAGTAACAGCGCTCCGTGGTAACGCTTCCAGTGAAACAACAAAATTTACGGTTATGATTGAACAACTTTTAAAGCTAAAATATGTAAAACGCAAAACATAAACACCCAACCTACCAACAGTCCCGTAAAGTGAGCACGAAAACCGAGTAAAAGAGCAATGAAACCGGAGCAGGGCTCGCCCCATCTCCCCCCTCCCCTCTTCCCCCTACCGCCTCCTTTCCTCAAGGAACTGCCTTGGCAGAGCAAGCGTCCAAGACCTCCTACCACTTGATTATGGCGATGAAAATAGCTCCGTAACTGCATGCGCATCCAAACAAAAAGTTGACAAATTGACAAATTTGATGAGTTCGTGAATTTGTAGCGAGGTTTCATTTTTGACAATTTATGCTTGATAAAATACTATCTGTAGAATGGTTAGTCTCAAGTCCAAAGTTCTCACAAAGTTCTCAATGTCTACATCGCCTAGCCAAAACTCCAAAATAGTTTCAATCAAAGTAAAATCGACTGTTCTATTATTGCAATAAATATTACATTAATTCAAGCACACATAACTTCCAGAAACATCCCATCAGGTAGGGTGGATTGTTCGCAATCAGAGAGGAGCGGAAGAGTTTGGTTTTGGCTCGTTCTGCAAGTCGTCTTTGTAATGTTTTGTTTATATGACTATCTAATGTTTGGCGATCACTTTAGGATTTGGGCTGGTCTTTGGGCCACGACCAGGCCCATTTGCCCTGTCGTCTTCGGAACACATGTGTCCAGCTGCACTTACTGACTTTTATGCTGGCTAGGAAGACTCGGGACACTACAGTCTTTAGTCAGTCATACAAAATGTACCAATATCACCAGTTTTAGACCCTGTATCTTTAAGTAGGCTGGTTGAATCTCTTTGGGGCATTGGTTTGCCACCACCTTCCCTACCGGTGACCGGAGGCATCGTGCCGTGCCAACAAGCAGTCGACAAACAACGACGCAGTTTGCCATGGGTTCAAACATGCAGATTGCGCTAATATGAAACTTCTGATCGCTTCCTTCCTCTCATTTGTAGGGAGTGCCGGCCTGCCCTCATGCCCTTAAACCACGGAATTTGAGAGAGGGTTAGTTGTAGTGGATTTATTAGGCATTGAATACATGACGAGTGTGGATAGGGGTACAGATGAGCCAAAATAGCAGACATCACCCGGAGAGGGATTCCTTATGGTCCTCACGCCTCTCCCCTACTTAGGCGAACTTAACTACTCTAGTATAAGCTATACAGTCACCGAAATTTCTTTATGCTTGTGTTATGGCGCAGCTTCATTTGTCCTGCTCATCCGACAATTATAATAGTCCCTTCTTTAAGTAACACTTATTTGCCGAACTCAATTTCATGATCGAATATTTCCAGCCATTTTCGTTAAGTAAGAAGTTTCGATGAAATAAATGTGTTTCAGTGTCAATAAAATCGGAGCTTTCGTCACACCTTAACTTGCTAGACCACTTTACAGTCTTCAATCTTTTAAGCATAAACACATGCAATGCCAGCATTGCAGTGGATAGTCAAAGCTTGCTCCTGTCCCACTATAATTCCGTGTTATCCACATGCACGGCGTTCAAACCGGATTTCTGGACCTGACCTACAGTGTACAATTTGAACGACTCATTTGCGCTACAACTAATGACGCTTTCGTTGTCTACTTTTACTGCAGGTGATTAAGCTGGAGGACTTGACTTGTTTCCGTAATTATCGACGTGTCGTCCAACCGCATCCAGCTAATGGGACGGCGCCTTCGGTAAGCGAGCCGGCGTTATCAAAACCACCAACTCCTTCCAACACGCCCGCGGCCTCGAACAAAGCCAATAACCCAAAATGAACAATTTGATTACTGACCATCAATGGACCATTAAAATGCAGCTTGCACTCTATGATTAAACAAAGATGTCTGCCAGTTCGCTGTGTACATGCATTAGAGAAGAAAAAGTTGTCGATGAAAATTCGTTAAATTTGAAGTCGAATTTGCACAAGCTGAGTTGCGAGGTGTGTTCTCATAATCCAGATGCTATGCTGATGTGGTGAAATGCAACCAGTGGTCAGTATGGCTTGGAGACATCGAGGTAGGACCGATGCATGCAAATAAAACACAAATCCGCGATTCCAGACTGTGCAAATGCGACTGACAAGATGAAAGAGTGCAGCGTCCCTGTACTTTTAGGTGCTTTGTTACTCTGTCATAACATGTTCGTCTCCCACCCACTTCAAAAGCCTTGGCCTTCTTTGTACGCTAAAAAGATACGGTTTCGGAATTCTCATTGCATTCGCGCACTACCGTCGACGGCGATACTGCGCTGAACTCGATTGCATACACGAATGGCGAATCGAGGCTTTCCCCTTATGAATGTGTTTCACACCGGTATTCCAAAGTCTCCCACGCAACCACAATTGATGTTCAATATGAATATCAACCACGATTGCTGTTTTGATGGCGAACGTGACTGCAGGTAAATATGAAGCTAGCAAGTAGGCTAAGCACATCCCCCCAGTCTTATGGCAGCTAACTACCACTGATGTGGTCGCCTCGTCGGCGCTTCCAAACAGTACAGGATATGTGGTGATGGGTGGCGTGGGGTGTAGCGAGGAAAGCACCATTTACGCCCCTCGACGGAAGAGAGAAACAATGCGATTTGATGTACTGTAATGTAATGTGTTCGGTCTGAAAATATGTCTTCTTCCACCAAATCGTAAAACTCAGGGCCTTGCAAAGTGAGCAATATAATTATTCATCGACATATTATTCCAAACAAGGTTGCGATTCGCTTGAATACTGCATTTGTAACACTTCGAATATGTGCCTGGAAGATAATTTGATAATTTTTACCCTTTTGTGCGTAGGCTAGCCCTCGGCCCAAGGCTAAGTCATTTCTACCAAATTGCTTGTACTCAGTCCAACTTTATGCCTGAGTGTGCTATACTGGTGGCAGCGGACAGCAGATATGATTTGCTTTAACTAATTCATCCTAATGAATATCATGCGATGTTAGGAAGCGCACGTACTTCGGGAGGGCAAGAGCGATGAATATGTATGACTCCACTTTGTTCTCGTGTTATGCAGATAGGTTATTAACTTGTGGGACGACACCACCATGAAACACGTAAAAGTTTTGTAGCAGAAGTCTCCTTGCAACATCCCAGTGTAAATGTTGGAAATAAAGCTACTTCGAACCCCGCTCAAATTGAGCTGTGCTTGGTCCCGTCTCACCTGTTCTGCATTTCCTGTTGACCAGTGTTCCAACGCCTAGACCCAAAATACCAGTAATGGTCAAAACATCCCAACCCATCTCTTCTTTTTCTTTAAAATACATGCACTTAGCTTGAAACACTGCACCCTTCTACCTAGTGTGTAGCTAAAAGGCTCTACAACGACGATGCGTTTAGGCATAATTTCTCCGCTTGTCATTACTAGACTTAAATGTATGCTAGGCTACACACTTCATTTTGCCACCAAATGGACATTTCTGCAGAATTATTGCGCTCACAATAGGATTCGTCAAGTTCTTGTACGCGTGGGCTGGCTTTCGGGCCGAGTACATGCCTGACATTTTTGCTCTCCTTCTTCTACGGGGTGAGAACTCTCTAGACGCTACACTTACCTTATCCTAAGAGGATATACGGCATTAATGGTGAATGCAATTTTCTACAAGTATAGTACTAGATTTCTAAACATTTTAGAATGCAATGCCTCAGTGAGTACAAACCACTTATTGTAAACTAATAACTGATTCTTCGTCTCCTATCTTTCTAAATGGTTAAATATTTTTACAATATTTTATTAACTTTGCTTGTTTGAGTGTATTGGTTGTGTCAAAGCATAACCTTAATAAAATCTGGGGTATATAACGTATTCCTGTTCTCTTGTGATTCGCTTGTTTTGGTAACGCACGCAGTTCGACATGGTAAGTTGGTTTGCGTTTTTAGTCCTTCATGGTTGCACTCTAGCCTGGAGCTCTCAAAGTTCTCATCACTGGCGCAGCCGGTCAAATTGCTTACAACCTCTCCAACATGGTCGCCAACGGCAATCTGTTCGGCAAAGACCAGAAGATCATTCTTCATCTCCTCGATATCCCCGAAGCCAAAACTGTACTCGAAGGTGTTGTGATGGAGTTGCAGGACTGCGCTTTTACTGTCTTGGAGGGTATTGTTCCCACGCACTGCCTTAAGGAGGCATTTACTGACATCGATGTTGCTCTGATGGTTGGTGCTATGCCGCGCAAGCAAGGCATGGAACGCAGGGACCTTCTCTCTTCCAACGTGAAGATTTTCAAGGATCAGGGCGAGGCTCTTGAGAAGTACGCCAAGAAGTCTGTTAAGGTGTTGGTTGTTGGTAACCCTGCTAACACTAACTGTCTCATCATGAGCAAGTACGCTCCTTCCATCCCGAAAGAGAACTTCACGGCTCTTTCCCGCCTGGACCATAACCGGGCCATCTATCAGGTGGGAAATCAGCTCGGGTGGCTTGTTAATTGTCTCGCTCCGATTGGTTATAATCGTTCTTGTTTGTTCGTACCAGGTCGCTGCCAAGGTTGGAGTTCCCAATGAGTGCGTAAAGAACGTATGTATCTGGGGCAACCACAGCAATAAGCAATTCCCCGATTTGGCTCACGCTGTCGTTACCAAGGGCGGGAAGCAGCACCCAGCTAAGGAGATGATCAACGACGAAAAGTGGGTGAAGGAAGTGTTCACTCCATGCGTTCAAAATCGTGGTGCCGCGGTCATCGGTTTGCGAAAACTCAGCAGCGCCGCGTCCGCCGCCAAGGCAATAGTTGATCAGATGCATGACTGGTGGTTTGGCACCAAGGAGGGTGAATGGGTTTCCATGTCTGTTTACAGCACTGGTGAACACTATGGTGCTCCCAAAGACATCTATTTCAGTTTCCCGGTTACCATCAAAAATGGACACTACAAGGTAGTGGATGGTCTCTCCATGGACGAATGGAGCAAAGGTCTTTTCAAGATCACTGCTGACGAATTAGTCGATGAACGGGACGTCGCTCTTTCCTCCTTCAAGTGAACCGGTGCCGCTTAATCTCTTATTTTCCCTTCTATGTGTGTTCCTCCAATCCTAATCGTCAGTTTACTAGTCGAATAAAGTTTTCCTACCCGTTTATGCGTTTATGGCTGCGCTGAATGATGCGTGTAAGGGAGCAGTTAAGCCAGTCACCCAATGTGGTCCAAGATTGTCTCACTCTGACCTCCAAGTTTGATGAGTCATTGCCGTCCGGTGCCGCAAGCTTGGGTGGGCGGCGCTCCCAGGTCATGTTCATGCCAGGTCTCGTATGTTTGCTTTTAATCAAGAGCTTTGCGGGAGTACTGGTCGTGTTGCTGCCGGTTGATCTGTTCGGGTAAATAAAAAACTTATTTTTTTCCATGGACTAATTTCATTGTCTCTAGTTTCTCATTGCTGTTAAATCACCAGTTGAGACGAGTTATTGAAGGTCCAGCAGGTTTAGCTAATGCACTGCGAATACATATCGTCACATATCGATTTTTTACGATTTCTCCTTTCCTTCTCCGGAGTTGGGTTTACTACCGATATTTCGATAACAAATAATCGATGCGCAAAAGAGGACCATTGAAACCATCCTAGAGCGGCTCGCTTATTTGAACAAAAGATCTTTTGCTACTTTTAGTCAAATTGGTTTTTTTTGCATTCTCCTGCTTTTTTGTCATTTGAAGTTGAGATGTCAGAGGACGACCAATTATGATATTGCAAAAGCATCATCTGTTTGACATTGTATATAATTGATCCGCTTGCAACACAAATTGGGAAGACAAGGAAATTGTCTCACATGGTACGCGGTACAAATCTGTGGGATGCCTTTAAACACGCTGCACTAATATTATTGCGCAAAGCTAGCAATTGCGGCACCTCCATGTCGATTTTCTGACATCAGGTGGCTTCAAATCCAAGCCAAGCACACGCCTGTCTAACACACAAATCAGCTCTAATTTGGGAGTTGAATGCACAGCAGCAGACAGCTCTCTAACCCATCTGGCACAACCCCTGAGTGCTAGTGACTAGCCACACACCAATCACGCCCTGATTGTCAAGTGTCGGCTTTCTTACCCGACCTCAATACAGAGATACAAAGTGAGTTTAGTGATATGCAAACATTTTTTTTGGGTGTCGCATGTGGTAGAAGGCTTTAATTAAAAAACAAAGACACATATGAGCTACAACCTTAGATGTCGACAAGGGTAGTTCGGTAAAAGAAGAAGTAGAATTCTATGGTCAAAGCAAGGAAGACAAGGGAGACTTTGTGTCTGAAAATTTATCCGCATGTTACAACCGATACAATGCGGCTATAGAAGCCTCATTGGTGAACCTCCTTGTCGTCACTCTTGGTTAGTCCATTTGCCATCCAAACACGTCCAAGGCTTGAAAATAAGGACAGAAACAATGCTAAGCATACGACTTTCGCTCCTTCGCGCGGGCTGTTACAAGGGAACCGAGGCAAGGTCCAAATAGTGGCGCGGGCGCGGGCGCGGCGAGGCGCGTGTAGAACCGACAAATCAATAACCTCACGAGCAGGAACGCATTTCCGTATGTGCGTGTGTGCGCGCTCAGTTTGTATGCAGGTGCGATTAGCCAACCACAGTGCGGTATGCAATGTTGCACTGTCACGTAGACAATGCCTGCGCTACTCGGTCGGGATTGCGATGCTCTCTTTTGTTGATGACATTGTCACTTGTTCTCTCAGCTGTGGTTTTCTGACAGGCGACAAATGGCATGGGTTGGCTGTTGTGTTAGCAAACATCCATCGGGTTCCGTGTAGGGTGTAGTGTTGATGTTCGTTGTATACTACTCATTGACGTGGAAAATTTTCTACTCCATATGTCCAATGCTTTAGGAACAGATGAAGAATATTTGGACTCTAAGTTAAGCAACTCCATCAGGTCTCAAACTTTCAGGTAATTATGCAGAATTAAAAGTTGTAGTTGTCACACTACATAGTTCTATCAGCATCCCTAATCTTCGCGGTGTCTGAGGCCACCTTCCCCCTTGGCTTTTGAAGTGACGGGCTCAATTGGGGGACACCTCTAGCTTCTTCCTTGCGTACGGCATCAGCAACAGCAAAGACTAATAAATGGGTGAAGTCAAAGTTGACCAATGAGGATGGCCAATGGTGGCCATGTCATTTGAGGATCATTTACACGTTTTTCACCTCTTTAGTCCAATGTTTTAGCGTTACTCAAGTGCTTAAAAAGACTATGTCCTGAGGGTTTTTGTTCCGAATGTATCCGTTGTTGTCCGTGAACATGAAAAGCTGTCGCTTGATTAATTGATTTGGATTGAATGCTTCGCTCTGGTTTGTTGCTGTGTTCACCTAGAAATGATGCATTTTGGCTTTTTATTATGCTTTAAAGATCACCAAATAATTCCTTTGATGGGAAAGTATCACATTTTCACGCACAACGGGTCCATTTAATCAAAATATCAGATCGTGGTTTTGGTTGGGTTTTTGAAGTTGGTTACTCTCACCGTTTAATTTCAAAAACTTGTCAATCTACCTCTACTTTGTGTTTGGGCCTTCGGGACTTGCCAACAATCTCTGTGCTTTATGTTCTATTTTGTATTGCTCAGTTCCCCCTTGGACCGTTGGTTGACAGATTTTATCAACGAAATCAAGCACGTCAGGACTGCCTTACTAAAGGCTTTGAAAGTAAAAATAAACTGCAGCCCTAGACGCCATGCTCATACACCCTTCACACTGCTTATTGGGTCGAGGTGCTGCCAGCTCGTCACAAAGGCCATCTTGTGAGGGTACGCTGAGGTAGGTGCAAGATTGATGTCAAATTATTTCAAAAGTTAAATTGTCCCAGTGGCAGTGCCCTCTGGCGCTGAGGCCAGTTTGGCTTGCATTTTTTTGCCAGGGCTGCGTGCACACGCGATCCCTCAAATGCCTCTGGTTGGACTGGCTCCAAGGCCTAATGCGTAAATTGCAGCACCATCTCCTATCGCGAAATTCCCTTTTTCTAAATGCCATTAAAAAGTTATTTTAAACGGTGTAAAACGAAGGTACGCGCCGCAAATCGCTTACTTTCTCAAGAGGTGAAATCGTCAGGTCATCTGTGCGGACAAGAGATTTAAAGGAGGCTGACGAACCATACGCGTTGTTGTTGAAATACACTCTCTGATGGGATAGCAATTACGAGAATAAATGACAGAAAGACCCATTTTTCAATGGATTCATCTGTGATTTACCAATTCGTTCATACGGGATTAGCAAAAGTTTCCCTTTTTGCAAGGCAATTCAAAATCCATTTATCTGCGCTACTGTTGTATCGACTCATCCCTCAACTCGGTATCTTTTCGTCGTTTTTTCTCATTCATTCACCCCGTATTCCACCAAACTCATCCATGCGATATCCATCTACTGTCACACCCATCCTTTCATTTCTCAGCTCAATGTGTCAAACTGCACCACTTATGTCTTCTTCTCGGCATCAAGTTCAAACACGGTACGGAATAAATGATGACTTTGAAGCTCTCTACCTCCCTCTCTTGAAAAGGCCATCCCTGCTCCCGGCCGAGGTGTACCGCTCATCAATCACTCTGCCAAAAATGACTGCCGTCGTTACGCCCAGTAATGGCGTTGATTCAAGGCTTCCGCATTGGCTGCCGCTGCAATTTTAAGTCGACGGTCACAGAAATGCTTAAGTTATCCCTAAGATGTCCACCCCTCCATCTAACAAGGCTTTGAACATCCATCACCTACAGTGAGTGTCACTTCCAAAGAACCAGAATATTCAAGATATAGATTGTGTTAATCGCTGTCCATGAGGCCATTCCTTTGAAAGGTTATCGCAAGCATCGGACCATCGGACATTTATAGTCTGGTGTTTGTAAACTACCAGGAATTCAGACATTCAACGTAGATGCCCTTCGTCTAAAGCAGCTGATATTTTTTACAAGTTCCCTAAAAAGAAAGACCCGGGTAGTCCTACTGACAATATAGCGCATGCAGCAGCCTAACCTTCCGCATCTCAAGGATGATTTGCTTATCTTATTGAGTGATCATTCGGATGTTTTAGTAATCCAAACCTTTTCACTTGATCTCACAACGAAGGTGAGATGAGGAGAATGAACAGGTAGGAGGGAGGAAGAACGCCTCCGTCTAAAGTTATCAAATCTTCCCATCATGCAATTATCGTGTGGAAGAAAGTGATATTCCTCAGTGCAAATACAGCAATTATAAAGTAAACTAAATTAAAACCGAGGTGTGCATAGTTTAGCAGCAGACAATTGCAAACTAACGTGTCATTTAGCTACACAGGAGCATAGTTTTTTTAGACCTTATTTAGAGGTTACGTAAGCTCATTATAGCGATGGCATTAAGTAAGCAAAAGTGTAGATAACTTCCGCTTGATGTTCGGCTGATAAGCCTTCATGAAGGACGTTGGACAGACGAGATAGGGTCTTTGATACGCGCCAGAGTTAGAAAGGAATGACATGTAAACAAAGGTTCGAAAGAGCCTCAACGAGTAGAGCGAAACAGACTATTGGAGAGGATATTTTTCATCGTGAAAACGTAATAAATTATAAAGCGGGAAAGTGTTC